TTTATGGCGGATTTGTGAATACCAACGATGACAACGGGGTCAATAATGAGGACTATTATAGATTTCGATGAGTGGTTAGTAAACCGATAGTTCCGATATGTCAAAGAGAAAGATAACACGAGATATGTGAGATAATACCTATGTACTGTTTTCTCGGTGGAGGACGCGGAAAACTTCAAGTATCAGACTTGTAGATGAGTATCGAAGTATGGAAATGCAATTTATATCGATGACCTGAACTGATCCCATCATCTTGTCATTAGTGTACACGTCTCAAACAGGGGGCGAAATAGGTCCATTATTCAGAGGCTGAGAGCCCGTAATCTCCATACCGCGTCCCCATACCACGCTAGAGTTTACAAGACGCCTCTAGACCTCTGTTCCAGCTGCAGGCCTGCATACGTGGAGCCAAAAGCTGTACTCATAGGTCATGTTCCATGTTTTCCCGGGTGCGGTGCCTCTTTGATCGACCACCGCACACCATGGGGACTTCTAACGCCTGTTTTTATTAGGAACAAGGTGCTAGGATTGACTACTTGTACTCAGATTCACAATAGTGACCTTGTTCATCATTTGCCTGGCACCTGGTCTTTGATACTACGCAACTAGAGATTGTTGCAAAGAAGCTTGGAGAACATGAAGTATTCCTTCTGAACAGATATACCCGATGAGACGCGTTCATTTTCCAAAGGCTTTCTCCACTCATGACGAGAGCCAATTCCGCAAAATTATGTTAGTCCAGCAGTCGGTGAAGGTGCATGCAAGGCCGAGATTTGGTCAAAGGGGATTCTGGCTCCAAATTGCGGAATTTGGGACCGTCACGTTTCTACCACGCTTAGGGATCCGTATCCCAGCAAACAGTGCATTAGAATTATAGTTTCTGGCCCTTCAAAGGAGACCGTAGTCTCTTTTCTTGCTTATTGCCCATAATGGGACATATTGAAGTAGATTAATTTGTTTGGCCCAAATTCATGTTAAAACAAGGCAAAGTTCGGCAGCTGACAATGCCTTGCCGCACATCTGGATCTTGCTTCTGCGCCGTATGGTGTAGGGAAAGGGGATCGGCCGCACATCCCCTCCCTTGTAAGAAATTTGCACAGCCAATTTTATGATTCTTCGGGGACTAAATACCATTGTAAATTACCACTAATACATTCAAGAATTTCGCTGTCACATTCGTAGCTTGATTCTCATGACCCTGTGCGATTTTATAAAAAGGTGAAGAGCGGTTCTGGCCAGGCGATGTGATAGCTCATGGATGATATCGGCAACAGGAGCAAGAAATATCAGTTCTCATAATGAACTGTGAGTCATTTTAATTGTTCGCAATGTGTTTTACCTAAATCCGCCAAGATACCTCGTACCTAATGGGGCTTAAAGGGCCGAATTCCCAACCTTTTGTCAATCCAGCTTCAAGATTCCCTCCCACAGATTACTTTAACGTAAATCGAGTTGTCAAGCCTTGTTTCTTTGCCTCACACTAAATGGGTTGGCGGATAATTTTAATACTGATGATTTAGCGGCTTAAGTCATTGACCGTGCCGTTCATAAACATGGCCAACGGGATTTTTCGTCTCGTCGGCCCATACGGGACCTGTAAAGTTCCAAACATTCCTCAAAAGTTTAATGTTCCAGAGGTGTTGTTTCTTGAAATCTTTGAAAGGCAGATGGATGGCCCGGGAGACATTGATCGAGTACTGGCTTCATTGCTCAAATTCACCTCCTCGTTTCAGCCAACCCGAAAGGTGTATCGTTTGCGGCAGAGGATTTGGCATCGAGTTGGAATCAAAGAGCATCAAAGTTTTATTTGGACCGTTGGCAAGTTTACTGCACTGCGGGCTCTGCTGCTCGCGGGAGACTCTAAAAACCATTTTGAGCCGACAGTTGCAATGTTCCGAAGGAAGGTGCCTTGTCCAAGTTGGCGAAAGTATTGGCACTCTTTGCGAAAATTTTTGCATGATGAGGTATGACCGGGTTTGATCGGTGGAGAATTGATGTAATTTCTGGGTAGGCCATTGCCTTGATGTATCTGAATCAGACAAATTGGCTACGCTAGATGGTATTTGGTCACATTACTCTGCATCGTCACTGTTTTCTATTGTAATTCAAGCATCAATCCCGGCCTCCACAATCAGATTCACATAGCAATTTCTTTTCCTGGTGTAAAAGAAAAGAAACAATGAGGCTATGGAATATCGGCGATTTTGAAGGCTGTCATACTGTAAAACGAATTGTACTTCTCTGGGTCCACCTTCTGTTACGCCGAATAAATACTATGCTAGCTCCACGGTGATGGGTCTCAAGAAGCTTGAACTAATGATTGTGCACAACTTTGACCATTGTTTTTCCCTTAAGAAAAAAAGTAGTGATGACTTGGGCGGAAACAATATATGAACCATGAACTATGGGGATATTGAGCCGACTATTCGGTCTCCCTTTGGGTCCCGAAATGGAACGGAGGCTGTACAGAGTAACAGAGACGAGGTAATAAAAGTGTGAAGTGCAGTGGAATAAAGAGAGTTGTAGTGCCAGTAAGCATGTATGCAAACTGTGTGCAGTTGCTGCGAGGGCCGAGCTAAGAACAGGAGAAGCTAACTGGGAATCGATACATATACCGGATCAAAGGGCCAAGCGAGACTAGGAGCCCAAATTGAATTTATGTTCTTGATCGATGGTGTGGACATCCTTTTATGCGAGACTTCATATTATTTGTCTTCAGGTAGCATATTCCTAACATTACAGCCTGAACAGAACTGGTAGCACCTTAGGGCTCACTAGATCCGAAGAATCAAGTCCACATCCACGGCTCGGAGTCACTCCATTCCTTGGTCGAATACCTAGCTATTCAAATGCATCCCCATAGGCTTCTGTCATTTGGGACAAGTAACCTTCTCCCTGAACTTTGCCACTGCTGGTTCAAAGTGGTTTCTGGTAGCTTCCGTCATTAGAAGATTTTCCAATGCGTCAAGTCTGCCAGGAGCCCATATAAAATTTTGATGCTCGTTCGGATCCATGACGATGGGGTGGGAAGACTTTAGAGACTTCTCGGCCTGAACCAGGAAATGAATTTGTTCAATCCATCTCCTGCTTTTTGGTGTATGAAGCACGTCGTTGTCGCCCACTTGATCACATATGCAGGTAAGTACCAGGCCGGTCTCCTCGAAGAATTCCCGGATCAAAGCTTCTAATATCTTTTCTCCGGGATCAACTTTCCCCCCCCATACCTCGTACATATTTGGCGAAGAGTCATGCTTAGCCCGCTGTCCCAGGGAGGCCCAAATTTCGCCCCTCTGCCATCTGCAGAGCCAACCTCTTACGCTGATTCCAGATACTTTGCAAATATTTTCCAGGGGGTCACACTCCTCTTTCCGCTTCTTCAGGTATTCTTCCCAGGGGACGTCGAAGTGTCGGAGGCTCTCTGCGACACGACAGATGCCGAATTTGGTTCTTATGAGGAAAAGATCGTCGTTCATCTTTCTTGATCTCACAGGCAATGAATCAGGTCACTAAATAATGAGAGTTAGCATTTCTTGAGAATCAAATTCATGGTAAGACAAGATATCGAACCTTGAAAAAATGACAGATGCCAAAGTAATCAGGGGAATAAACCAGGGAATGAAACTGACAGGAAGTTCTGTTCTTGTCAATTTAAGCCTTTGGTTCAAGAACACCGTAGTGTGGGCCAGGAAAATCACATAAGCAGATGATAGGACTCACGGTCTGAAACAGACACTAGTACACCGTCTGATATGACGCCTACCCCCTGTATACACGCCAAGGGTGAGCTGATTGGATCTCGCTGTATCAAAAGTCATAGTTGTTAGACTAATAATATGGTTGCTTCTTTTCTACGCACAGCGGAGGTCACCCGGAGCCACTCGGAGTCTCCTGCCTACTTCGGACATCGTGACTGCAGTGATGGGTGCACGATCCACTTTGATTAGGCTTGGTGATTGAATAGGCAGCGGTATGTTAGTGACTAGTCGCTCTAGCTATCGGCGTTGTTATCACTGCTGCTGCGGGTTGGATCACATCCAGGCTTGGGGACAAATAGAGAGATCTGTATCAATGTGGATCCGTTCGCATCCCTTCGAGTCGGTATACAGCGCAGTTAAGATTCTGATCCTCGGACATTGGGCGCAACTGTGAATGACCGCTAGGCATTACGGGCTTATACGTCACATTACGGTTTAAAGATAATATTAGCACCTTTATTGGACACCTGACCATCCATTCCAGGGTGGTTATGGGTTCACAAGAGAGGAACGAGCGTCTTTAATCCCGGACTATAAGAAACAGCAAATGGGGCTGTTGAGATTTCGTCTGTGAGGACCTAGCCAAATTTGGTGAATTGAAGGCACTAGTTTTCCAATCAGTAGGAAGGCGACTCTTAGACACTGTAGATCTATTTCTTTCCTGGTCAAAACGAGCTACTCTCACCGCATGGTGGCTGCGCTAGATTTGAGGTACGCGCGGAAATTGTGCGGGACAACTTGCCACTGAGAGTCTCTGTGGCCCACGGGCAGACCAGTCAACTTTGTTGCATTGAATACGCAAACAATGAGATAATAGCCATATCAAGCGGTAACAAATAAGATCAAGTCGCTTCCTATCATACATTTCTCTGCCGGTCTTTCAAGGTTTCTGTAGTTCAATACGCCTCCGCTCCAGTGCCAAGAGCATGCGCAAAGAAGACCAAACTTCTCGGTTGCCTCCGGATACGTCAGGGACAAAATTATGCTTTCTGGCTGAGAGATTGGCTGTTCGTGCGATAATGCAGGATCGTCTTCGCGACTTCGGTGCCTTGCAGATGAGCGGTGTCTGCTCACCATTTAAAAACGAAGCTTCCCTTTGTAAGAAACCACTTGTCACCAAGGAAAATGGGTTCTGTGGAATATCAACCTAGGTCCGACACTACATGTTTGAACATGGAACCTTTAACAGTTAGTATTCCTTATCGTTCTACGACCACCATGACACTGACCTTTAGTATATAGACCATGCGTATCGAAGCTCCCCTTGACTGCGATCTTTGCACTCAAGGCTCCAACGATTGCTATGCCCTCAATCATATCCAATCGGAGATTCAATCGGTGGAGCACGGTCTTCATGATGCGATCCTCCTGGCCATTCCTCTGGGCAAAAGCCAGTTTGACTTGACGGTTGAATGGACCACTGCTAGTCGAATCAGAGACCACTTCACTGACATAAGTCATTTGCGTCTGTTGAGTTCTGATCCTCTCTTCGCCGCCGAAATCGGTCGTTCGTCTTCGGAGACCGCATTTGCTGCTTTGACGCAAATTAGACGTCAATACAACCTGGCGGCGAGTTCAATTTACAAATCAAATGACCCACGCCGCATCCGCTGGTTCGAGACTGAAACCAAACACATTGAAGGTCTCCTGCAGGTTTACCAACAGCAGTGCGTCGACCTAGCGGGAATGTCTTTTCGTATCGAGTAGCAATAGAAGTAACTCAATTGCATCCACAAGGTCGTCCCTTCCACATCTTGACTAATTACTCCTCAATGTCCTGTAAGACACTGCATGTTCACACGCTTGACCTTATACCAGCCATCGGCCAAGTGCGGAGGATTTACTTATCCACCTTTCGAGGGGCACGATTGTTTTGTTCAAACTACTATGGGGCAAAGCCTATGCATATGCTTTACTAGCTTCAAAATATTCACATAATACTTTCGCGCAATACAGGAAGAGAGTGGGTAGGAAGACTGGAATGATAGTATTAATGCGTGACCAGGTGTCAGCATCTTGCTAGTTAGAACATCCAAATGCTGAAACATGTTATTGTTTCTGTCCCCTGTGTTTCATTGTCCCCCAAGTCAAGAATACCTTCATTGGGCCACTGTTCTGATCATCGCCTATTTCAGCCATCATGCCCCATGAAAATAAATACAACTAAGACTATGTAGCTCGCTCAAGTTGACATGCTTTTGAAGCCAATATTGTTCATGTTAGGTGTCCAGGGCAATAATTAAGATCGTGTAGCTCAGGAAGTACGATTCTCAACATCCTGATTCTGAAGGCCATGTCCTTGATGGATTTTATGGAGCCGGCGGATTCTCTTCGGAATTGGTGCTTCAAATTCTTCATCCCGATCGCACGTTGCAGAAGTAAACACAAGCGTTCTCTTCTGGCTTTGTACATTTGAATCGAGTGGATAGTGTGGTGGATACTTTGAATGGCGAGAGCTCTGGCCGGTGGACGACTTCTGGAGTTGACTATGAAGCTGTGGCGGCACTTGATAACTGCCAGTGACAGGTAATGTGCTACCAGGCTTATGAAACCGTTGATATTGGTGGCTACCAGGTGATAATGTCTCGTCATTGCTATAATGTCCACTGTAAATCGCAAAATTAGCTTTTAAAACCAAGCTTATTGTGAGAATTCCAAACTTCGGCCACACTTGGCGAGTAAATATAGCAACTGAAGGAGAGGGATAAGGAAATGCTTACTTGACATATACCGGTAGCAGACTCGAGTCAAGTCGAGTCGAGAACTCTGCCACTACCGGTCCCGAATCCGATCCCGGGCTTGGATACCGTTCCATAGGTGTTGAGGTAGAATGCCGCCCCTGGGCTCCATAATATCCAGCCGGGTGTATTTCTGAGTGCCCCCAGTGGGGTGTTACACCGAAAGGTCTCATATTATTAATCGCACCCTCATGGGGGGAACGAAGCGTTCTGAGGTCCACATAAACTCCCATGCGCGTTCTGGGGTACTTTGTCGATTCCATAGGTCTCCCCATAAGAACGATCACCATGGATATCGCTTCGAAATTTTCTGAACGAGGGTTGCGAGTCACGTTTGCATAATAATTTTCTTTAGCATAGACATAGCTCCATACCATCCCCGAATATTCTGCTTGTCGATCTTGGACGAGTCGACTGACTTGAGCGCGCTGGTTAGGGCTCAAGTTTTGGTACTGGCATTCAACAGTAGATTCTTCTGCACGCAAATTGATCATCTCGCAAAGCTCTTTGCGTTCGAAGTACAGTTCAGTTCGCTCTGCATATTCCCATGTTGCCCCCGCCCTGTAGAATTTGTATGCTTCAAAAACGGTTCTGGCTGGTGGCCAAATGTATCGCTTTTGGTAAGCTAACGGAAATGCCTGAGGGGAGGTTTGCGTTGGCTTGACAGGGGCGGTAGGAGTGAAGCGTGTTTCTTGACTGTGGCATGATCCGGGAGCATCGTAACTGGCCGACATTTGGGCTCACTGGAAGAATGATTGAGCAAAGTCCTCACTGGAAACGGAAGCCGGCTATATAGTGTTGGTGAATTAAAAAATTCCCGGGAATACGCCACCATTACGCCCGGGTGACAGAACTGCATCTAGGCAGCGATGGATTCCGGCGCATGAGTCATGCTTGAGCATCCTAGTCCTTTGTGTTAGTTCACTATGGTCGGTTCACTATGGTCGGGCTGTGCTCCTAGGAATCAAAATCTGGCCCCAAGCGGGTATCCTAGCCCGCAACAAACGCCCAATTGGATTGAGATTCGATGAATTGAACATCGTTAGTACTTACGTGTTCCAAGATGGACTGAGTGGCTAGACCAAATGGATACTTTCAGGATCGACAGGAGCTTACGAGAAATTTTGGGGGAAGAAAATTTGTACCCATCGTGGACCTTTGCAAAGCTAACTGGTATTGACCGACGTACCTTTTCTGAGGTTATCCACCTATTCCATATCGCCCTCCTCGGTATTTCTTTCCAGTATCTTGCTTGAGCTCCGCTCCTCGCTCCCAGGAACCAACGACAGGTAGACAGCCTGGGTGAAGGTGAATATATTAACGGGGTACGTAGCCACCACACAAGAAGCAGGAGAGGTAAGTCAAGTTCAATCTGCTTTCCGAGTGTGTGTTAGATCGCCAATTCAAGTCAACATGGTACTGGTAGGCATTAATAAAACCATTGAATCATGCCCCTGTTACAGTTTGTCTTTAGCCTCATTGGCAGGATCATAGCATTTAGCGTGGCTTGTTCCATTACAGGACAAGGTCTAGACACAAGACGGACAGAGTCGATGCCAAGGAATCAGATCTCAATGCAGGCCTTAGTGTCCTGTTTCTGGAAACCGAGTGGTTCATTTATCAGAATTTGGTGGTTCCAGCTCAGGAGCAGGGTATAATTGGCTTCCTGCATCTTCGACCAATACAAGGGCTCCAAGCGCATCGGACCCGTGTCCCCGAGCAAGTCGAGGACTAGCCATTGTTTTAAGAAGCAATGCCACCCCTGCTTTTTCACCCTGCATTCTCGAAAAATACTTAATATCCCTCTGTGGCCCTTTATCTCAGCATGCCCAGCCGCAAGATATTGGAGAGAACCCAAATTTCTTTCAAAATGGTTGATTCTACAGGCCACTGCATGAATGTATCGTTTCCGATATCTTGCAAACCAAACGATTTGACCTTTCTCTGGGTTGTGAGAGCTCTCGAAAAAACTCCAGAAACTGCCCGGCGCTGTCATATCTCATACTTTGAGCAGTTGAACACACTCGGCAATATAATTCTGGGAGGTGTGACTGGTCACACTCTCGCATCTATTATTAAGACTACCAAAACAATGGAGACTTTACTGGTTTCTTGGCATTGGGTTGAACACTGCGATGGTGAGACAGAATTTCAAGAGGATTAACACCTTTTCGACCACATGATCTGACATGCCAGAACAGGAAGTTGCCCGTTGAAGAACAGTTCCACGCCTCTCAAGGAAAAAGCAGATCGCACCTCTTTGCTGGAGGGATGAAAAGCCAGTGGGATGTAAAATACGACCCGCAAAGCACATACTGCAGAAAAACCCTGAAAACAAACGTGTTTAGAAATGCCAATTGCCAGTTTATTATAGCCATCAGTTTGTGCCCTCAATCTCTTCCCCCTTTCCTATAGTGCTTTATTGACCTGATCACCACCAAACTGATTCTCCCAAAAAGTTTGAATTGAGCTGAATTGAGCTGTGGACATTGTGTTGATTGCATTTATTTGACGCGCAATTTTATGTATAATGTATTATGTGGAGTTGCTTGGGCTTAGTAGGTCGTTGGGGTGGGAGTAGTGGGCAACCAGCATTCCATAGAGACAATAGAACATAGAACCGATGTACCCGCCGCAGCACGCTAAGACCAGTTGCGTAAAGCCAGGAGTCTGAGCCAATACATGTGTGAAGAGGGTTCAACTAAATGCTTAGTCATGAGTTAAATGACCTCTGTCTCCGCTGCCCCTCTGTCCCCTCTGTCCCCTCTGTCCTCTCTGTCCTCTCTGTCCCCTCTGTCCCCTCTGTCCTCTCTGTCCTCTCTGTCCCCTCTGTCCTCTCTGTCCTCTCTGTCCCCTCTGTCCTCTCTGTCCTCTCTGTCCCCTCTGTCCTCTCTGTCCCCTCTGTCCTCTCTGTCCTCTCTGTCCTCTCTGTCCCCTCTGTCCTCTCTGTCCTCTCTGTCCTCTCTGTCCCCTCTGTCCCCTCTGTCCTGTCTGTCCTGTTTGTCCTGTTTGTCCTCTCTGTCCTCTCTGTCCCCTCTGTCCCCTCTGTCCTCTCTGTCCCCTCTGTCCTCTCTGTCCCCTCTGTCCTCTCTGTCCCCTCTGTCCCCTCTGTCCCCTCTGTCCTCTCTGTCCTCTCAATCTTCTTTGCCTTTTCAACCACCGGCGGAAACTATGCCTTCAAAATCGCCTGGCTTGACTTTCGCTGCTGTCAACAAGAAACGAGAAGAAATTGAGAAGACGCAGACTATCCCAGCAGCCGATGTGACACTCCTCGGGGAGCGCTTAGTCATAGCCTTTACGCCAGAAACCCCACACCGCAGACTGAAACACCACCTCGAGAGTCGTGAATACACGTTTAAATCTCGACAGAGAAAGGCTCGAAGAGAATACCTAGAAGTGTTTGATAAAGATCCATACCTCTTTTTGCCTTTCATACTCACGGTTTCTCCAAGCTTTTGTGCTCGATTTTCTAGCTCCCAATTTCTTCAGCAACACAAGAAGAGAAAAATAACTCTTTCCAATGATTCCTATTTGCTTCTTTGGCACACTGCCACTAGGTATGGGGTTGAAAAAACCATTGGGTTCAGAAAACTCATGCATTCAATCTTCGAATCACGTCCGCCAGTGACTGGAGCAGAAGCTGAAGGGAACGAAAATTGTTCATTAACCATGTCCGATCTTTCGGCAATCCGCATTGCGTTCGGACACACCGTATGTGACGCAATTGAATGCTCTTCTACTCACATGTCAAAGAAGTTGGATGGCCAATTCTCGCAAATTACCCAATGTATTCAGACTAAGGTTCCCTACGACGGCTATCAAGATACAATCATTCGCCTTGACGTTGGCTCCGCACTTGAGCTCGCTGATCTGTTGTTCCCATCCGCAAGCCAAAAGATAGCATCTGTTCTTTCGGTGTCAACACATTTGATTCCTCAAACGAGCGGATCAGAGGCCTCCTTGAGCCCAAACAATTTACAGAATTCTCTCTCAGAATTTGGTACGGAAGATCAGATCAAGTTACCAATGTACAGCACTAATTACCCTGGGGCAGATTTTGCGTATTTCAGTATGCGAGGAGCGTCTGTCTCGGCCATGCGGTTAGTTTTTGGCGCTGACATATGCGAAGGCATTGAAAACAGCGAATTGAGAAATTGGGAACGAGAACAGCTACTTGTTGATACGACTGACTGCATCACGATGCAGATATGCAGGGCACGGCCACAAGATGGAATTATTCGATTACGCATCGGATATTTTGCTGGACTGAACTTGGCAAACCAACTCTATCCTGACCCAGCTCAGCTACCATGCCCTGACTCGCAACAATCATCTTCTGACTATTCTTGTCTTTCCACCGACTGCTAGTATTCCAACCTGCGGGGGAAGAAGAATTTCACCACTCCCGTACTCGCAATGAATCGTTTTGCCTTTTTCATCCTGAAATCTTATTTCTTGGCATCCAAGGCAAAAAAATTCTCTTTCGAAAGGCTCTCGGTTGATGGGATGGTATGGATGCGTGATGTATTCGTCGAAAGCAGCAGGATCGGCAAGCTCTTTCCAAGCCTTGATCTAAGACACGTTAGACTATCTGTCCCGAAAACAATTTCCAATGACATACCAAAATATCCTTTAGGTCGTCTGTGCCCGATTCCGTCATATTGAATTGAAGTCAAAAGCAGTAAAAGCCTTGAAAGACCGGACCTTAGGGTCTTTTTGACCCGCAGATGAGTTTTGTTTTTTTTTCTTCTTCACTGGCTTCAGCCGCAGATCAGCATGAAGGGCGACTATGTGTAGAAAAAGGAGACACTAGGGTCAGCCCGTAAAATGGGAAGGTTGGTAGTTGGAAAGGGAGGGGACAGGAGTAAATGGTGGTTAGGCATCACAGGAAAATTGCCAGACTAACTAACCAACCCCTCCTTCCTTTTGCGGACGGCTTAGCCACCTCACGGCTGATGTCATCGCTCATGTGACTCAGTAAATCGAATTCCGAAATATGTCCCAACTTAACGCTGGATTTCACCATGGACAAAGTAAATAATTCTGGGGATAATTTTGAAATTATGCAGAACGAAATATTGTTTAGAGAGAAGAAATGCAACCGTTGGCTCTTCTAGATCAATGGCTCCGTCGTGGGTAATCTGAGGATCTCTCTGTTTGTCCCCTCTGTCCCCTCTGTCCTCTCTGTCCTCTCTGTCCCCTCTGTCCTCTCTGTCCTCTCTGTCCTCTCTGTCCTCTCTGTCCTCTCTGTCCTCTCTGTCCCCTCTGTCCTATCTGTCCTCTCTGTCCCCTCTGTCCCCTCTGTCCCCTCTGTCCTCTCTGTCCTCTCTGTCCTCTCTGTCCTCTCTGTCCTCTCTGTCCCCTCTGTCCCCTCTGTCCCCTCTGTCCTCTCTGTCCTCTCTGCGACAGTGTGATGGGCCAATATTCCTGTTAGGCGCGCCTGTCATTGGCTAACACCCTGTCTCGGCGTTGATATCAAAGCCACTGTGATAAGTCCTGACTTATGTATGATAGCATTGTTTGTGCAATGACGTTCGTTGTTCTATTGCACAATGTCTAGCAAGGGATAAGGAGAGGTCACGTGCACTATCCAGGGAAATATTTCTTACAGCATCATGTTACTCCGCGTAATGTGAACTGTGACCCCACCCTCCCAGCATCGAACATTTCCTCTTTCCTCAATTACTCTCTTTACACAATGCTCTCAGACAACGAGCAGCTTCAGCCTACCCATGTGCAGCTGGGTATCGCAACAAACCACGCTCGAACCTATTGGCATCAGCTTGCCGAGGAGGTTATTGCAGACCATGAAGGTGGAGTCCTTCTCGGATCAAGTCTTTTACAGAAACTGCTTTGCAGAGTCCCTTCTATACCTACTCAGCCCTTGGCCGTTAATGAGGTACTTTCCTCCGATACCACCACGAAATCAGTTTTGGCTGCTGCATCATCAACAATGCGCGTGATTGAGCCAGGGGGATGCGAAGTCGGAGGCAAATCAAAAGAAAATAGAGCAACCTTACTGATCGGCATCCAGACGCCAACCACCTGTCAGTTTTCTGGAGACGCCTTCCGTCAATGGCGGACGGCGGGAACCGCCAAGTCAAATTCTTCAAACTACATCGGGATCTTGTCTCTTGCTTGGTCCTACATTCTCTCAGCCCGTTTGTTGGAACTTCAAGACCAAGAAGGTGCCGAGCTTATTTATACTAGCTCAACGGCAAACCCTCGCGGGACCAATGTTGTGGATACGGACGAGTCAAAGCGTTCAGATTCTCAAGTGATTGAAATTGACATCGGGGAGGCCGACATCAACGTTGCTCGATGGTGGATGGCCATATTAGCCCCCAATCAAGGATGGAAGGCAGTCTTCACCAAAAGAAATGATGATGTCTATCTGGCACCTTGGTCAATTGACTTGGGAGGGAAGGCATTATTCGGAATCCTATGGCAAGGCATAGGGGCTTCTGCGCCAGACTTTCTCGAATGTTTTCCACTTTCCTCCCAGGAGGCCTTGACAGCTCTATCTGATTTCTGCTTGTTATATGGCCTTGGAGATCAATTTTTTGCCGCGTTTGCAGCAGCATTGACATATCCGACGAACAAATATTACGAACAAAGAATTGAGTTGCCATCACCAAGCATCTCCCTTGACAAGGTGGAAATCACACCAGATAAAGCATTAGCGAGCGAATATATGGCACTTGGTGATGACCTTGCCTATTACATGGCCCTGAGTTGCAACCCTAATGTCGTGATGTCAAGCCTTTCTGGATCATTCTGGGAGCCTGGCATCCCCTGCAACCTTGTTAGTCCTTGGCTGCATCCTGTTGTGGAAGAATTGCCAAAGAGATCAGGATTAGCAGAAGCACCAAGTCGATACTTTGAATTGATCACTTTGATGTGCGGAACCCGTCGCCCGAACCTTTTCGCTCTTTGGGTGGGAGCTGCACTAAGTGGACTTGTGTCGAAGGTCATTGATCTTGCCAAAAGTGGAACGCCTCCTCTCGACCCGAATGGGTATGCGTGGACTTCCTCGGCGCAGAGTTTTATGGACTTTGCAGGCTCAGGCCCGTATTTCGGCTCTGATGCGTGTGGGGAATTTGCAATCAAGAGAGCCGACGCTTGGAGACTTCTATACCTTCCTGTCACAGAGGATGATGGACTATATTATAATAGTCTCCCATTTTCTCCCTGGCCCCCCATAGGGCAAATGAAGGAGAAAAACTGTGCATTACGGGTCCAAACGCATAAAGACTGCCCGAGGCACAATCTGGCCTATTGTGACTGGGCATGGCAACTACGTGATAGTACCGTTTTACGCGACAGAGGTTTTCGGCTCCAAAACCATAACATTTTCCACCGAGTTCAATCCGGCATGTCGCCCATGAATTTCAGCTTTCAGTCTCAGCCAGAAACTCCTGTTTTTCCAACACAGAATGCATCACGTGAAGCCTCGTTTGAGATTTTTCGATGGGTGTTGGCAAACCATGAAGGAAAGCCACCCTCTGAACCTATATATGATGACGCTTGGATAGCAGGATGCGACGACACGGACGGGTCGGCTGCAGAGGTGGGAAGCAGTAGCGAAAGCGACTTTGGTTTAGGAGATGCGGATTCTTCACTGGATAATGTCTGCGACAAACTATCGTCCACTACACAAGAAAGTCGCATATTGCAATGGGTCGATAATATTTCTAGCACAGATTGACCAAAATTCGAGCTTCCACAACTTGCACCGAATGGTTCTGATTACTCGAGAGACAGCAGTCTTGTTTCAATAAAGTAGTTAAATGCTAAGTACCTGACGCGAGTAGATCCGCTTCAAACCATCATTGTATTTAAGCCCCAAGCTATTCCAAACCCGCCCTTCCCACACCCCCCAAAACCCCCGCCGGCCCAACCAACAAAACCCTGTTCTTTCTCTCCCGCGGGGCAAGCAAACTCCAGACCCGATATCTAGATAAAACGCTGCTTTTTGTCTCTCGTCTGACATTCCGGGCACAGATATTCGTTAACAGAGAGAAGGGAAAGAGTAATGGTGCATATTTATGGACTGCCATAGATTCTAGTTTATCTAAAGTAGGTCCAGAAAAAAGGAAGCCGTAGCAAACCAGTAACTCATGTAGCTAGTTCATTTCCCTCAACAATCGAAGTATCTCTGCGTTCCCAGCTTCTGGGTTCTGTGGCCTAGTTCAAGGACGTTTCGCAAAGGCCGCTAACTTACCAATTTGGCGTAGCTCCTGGATGATCCGGGCAGACCTTGCAGATTCTCCAATTCACTCCATTGCATGTTCCAGCAACTTGGCAACGTTTCCACCTTTTGAGACAACCCGGGGCTCCACAAGCTCTTATCTTGTGTTCGTTGTTAAGGTGCAGGCAACTGGGGTTATCGCAAGAACCAGCGACACCAGAGCTCGTTGTCATACTGGGATATCCTATGACTGATCAGATTTGACCATACTTGGCGAGAACGTACGCGAGTCACCTTCACTTCGCAATGAGGGTTTATATATAACCGTAACACGGCGATTGTAGCTATTTCTTGATAATCTTTACTCGTTTGATAGGTTTCTGCTAATAACAAGCAATGAGCAATGGGAACAGTGTAAAATTCAGAGACTAGACGTTTACCTTGGTTCCTTTTTTCGAACAAGAAAAACCACAAGTAATATGGTCGAGCACAGTAGACCTGAATAAGGATGGATACTAGGGCAGTGCAATGAATTATAATCAGAAGTATTCTCTACGACGTGTTGTGGTTTCTTTATACAGAAAAATGCACGGTTCGCTTTAAACATGTAATCCGCCATAGGTTCAGGGTCGTTGGTGTTGCGGCACGCAAAAAGCCACTCTGTCCCCTCTGTCCTGTCTGTCCTGTTTGTCCTGTTTGTCCCCTCTGTCCTCTCTGTCCCCTCTGTCCCCTCTGTCCTCTCTGTCCCCTCTGTCCTCTCTGTCCCCTCTGTCCTCTCTGTCCCCTCTGTCCTCTCTGTCCCCTCTGTCCTCTCTGTCCTCTCTGTCCTCTCTGTCCCCTCTGTCCTCTCTGTCCTCTCTGTCCTCTCTGTCCTCTCTGTCCTCTCTGTCCTCTCTGTCCTCTCTGTCCTCTCTGTCCTCTCTGTCCTCTCTGTCCTCTCTGTCCTCTCTGTCCTGTCTGTCCTCTCTGTCCTCTCTGTCCTCTCTGTCCTCTCTGTCCTCTCTGTCCTGTCTGTCCTGTCTGTCCCTACATAATGCAAGCACCCATATCTATTGATTGGATTTGGCAGGGGAATTCCTTGTCGACGAAAGAAATATTAGACCACAGATTTGAGAGGGCGCCAGGGTTTTCTGACAGCTCTGGAATCAGCATTATAGTAATGCACAAACCGATCGATGACATAACGTTAGAGTCCATCTTAACAGAAATGTGGCTTGCGAAGTAACCAGCCTTGGGTAGTTTGTAGATCCTTGCTCAGAATCCTCTCTTTGATCTGTTCTCGATCTGTCTAGCGCTTCATGCCCTAGATACCCAATCGGATCAATGTTAAACTGCTGAGCCTCAAGCACGCATAGACAGCTGTGTGTAGGCTCTTTATTCTAGACCTCTCAGGTACGTCGAGTAGCATTGACCAAAACTTCGCCTTGACCTCCGTTAAAAAGCGCATCCATCTGATCGGCCTCGGCCTCACGCAGAAAACAACAACCATGCAGCAGCAAGCCCTGAAGTTGGAGAACCCTTGCAAGTCATGACGGTCGGGGTACCATACGAGAGATTGGTACGATTCAGGGGTATATAGTCTTGTGTGTCGATAGTAGCCTCGCTGCCGCAGAGACTCCACTAAGCTGGCCTCCCATTTCGACGAGGATCTTGCAAAGCCCGGTTATTTGTCCCCATCAACAGTTATTCATTTATAACATTTGAAATCCATGGGCTTCTTCACGAGGATTTCAATGTGGTTTCCTTCTAGCCGATTTCATATCCCGATCTGCCAACAAAATATCTCGACCGAGTCCTTCTGGGAAAGCCATCCACCCCCAGGTGAGAACGAGACAATCGTCCATAAATCCAATTTACCCACAAATCCTCCGCCACTGGTGTACAGTAAACCTACAGTCACCGACCTTTCACCGATGCCAGCTCGCCCATCTTATACTTGAACCCGTGTTTCTATTCCACCGGGGTCTCCCACCAAACACCATACCTTTTCGTGAAATCACCAGTCAGAATTACCTGAATAATATGGCCTCGCAATCCCTCCAGCAGTGAGACATGAAGCTTAATCTACTGCCAATGCAACCCGCTGACTGGATAGGTTGCTCATCAATTCACGGACTGGCCCTACAAAGCCGCCTCTCGTCAAAACGCTAGACACTTACATGGGAGAGTTCAAGTGCTGCCACGAGGTCCAGAATTATCTGCTTTTCAGTGCGAAGATGACCGACAATAGTTGCAAGACCGTGTTCATTGAGCTAAATCGGATATTGGAGGGAGACAAGTCAATAAGCCCTAAGGACCGGGATTTGAACCGCCAAGCGAGGTGCAGAGTTCTGTATGTGGAGTGGATATACTTAGAAGCTCGATATTCAAGCAAGCGAGAGTAGCTGTAAATGAGTACAGTACCTGAAATCCACAATCAAACCATTGGAGATCGCCCGAGGTATACTAGGTCCAGAGCTCATCACATTAGTATCTCAGTCCATAGTCCAGCAGGGGTGCTTCCGTTTCATTGCCACCACTGGACTCGGAACCCGTCCGGCGTCGCAATTCAAACGTGCACCTAAATGAGCGAGGATAATTAGCAGGTTTCAGTAATTCGTAGTGCCTACGTCTGATTTGTACTTCAGCGATAGGCTAGTAGACCTGTATCAAGGCGTACTAGTTTCGCAACAAGCCATCTCAGAAACTTAGTAGGATATTTTGCAGGGATTTTACTGCATTGCTTCGTGATCCAGTTTTAATTGATAAAGAGATACGTGACCTCACTGCGGCTGCAGAATGGAGCCTTAGGGCCATCTGCAGTGACAGCCCGCATGCGTACGGACTATTTTATCAGGTATTTAATGCCAGCGCAATCCCCGAATATGAGCGGGAGATATGATCTTTACTCTCAGCCAAAGCGAATGGTACGGCTTCTTAAGTCTGTACTATCCTTTATTTCTTTTCCCGAGCCTCATCGGTGCATTCTTGTTTTCTGCTATTGCAATGGCGGAAGACGAAAAAAAGGTTGCTGTTATCATCTGCCTTTTTCAAAAGGCAAACAAGCATTACGTCTGCCCTGGTTGTCTCAAAGCTTATTCCCGTTTCAATGTATTGACAAACCATCTCAAGAGGGAGAAGAACGAGATCCATGAAGGGCTCATGGCAGAGAGACAGTCAGACTTCGACTATAGCTACAGAAGACTCATTGGGAGAGAAGATGAGAACGACAAGTTCGTCGTGCCCTCTAGTCGAGCAGCTGCATGCGAAATAAGATTCTTTGTTCAGCACAGACTGTTGAAGCCTTCGCATCCAGTTTTGTCGCCTCCGCATCCAGTTGTATCGAGGATGCAATTACTTTTGAAAATTGCAGTGGCGTCAGGGATGAAATTTGTCTGCCCTCAATGTGTGGACAAAGATTTTGAGTACTTTAATAACATGACCGAATTTGGAGTTCACTGTCGACAGAAAGGTGATCAAACACATACGAATTTGATGTCGACTGTCGATGGGACATTCTTCCCATCCTACTTGCGAGCCATGAAACGTGACAAAGTGGTGGACCCGCTGGATGGGAACTCACGAAAGGGACCACCGTCGTTCCTCGAGTATCTAAAGATTGGTTATGTCTTTCAGGAAAAATTGTAAGAGCATTGCTGTGTCCGTCCGACGCTATTGGGTCTAATGTAGCTCTTAGCTTTGGTACAGCACCCGAAGAAACATCTTAAGAGACGCTATTACTAGCGACTAGCTGAGGCCTTTGGAAAACATATATCTTATTGAGAATTTGGTTTGAAACTCGAGCAACAATTGTATTCTTTAATTATCCCTTCACTATTTAGCACCGAATGCTTCGGTGCATCAGGGCAAAGAGGAAAAGGTAAACTCAGAGCTATTACCAGAAACAAGCGAAGAAGAAAGCACTGAATTGGAAGAGACCCCATGATTAATTATCGCCTCTGGTAGATCCAATATGATCTTTCACAGCTTTCACTAGGTCCAAGGGGCTGAACCGCATCTGAATGCTTTTGGGTCAACCCCCAAGAAATAGTTTGCAGCATCTTGCATCAGCCCAAGTTATATTATTTCGCGATATGCGCTGAAAAGAGAATATGTAGGGCGTTTCTACGTAGAGCACTATGTAAGCGTATCTCATGCCAGTAAAATGGTAATCATTACTTGTACTGTATTGATGAAGAGTTTGCCGAAGAGTGTCTTGGAAAGTGGATGTGGACGGCAAGATAGGATGTTAACCAAGGTTCACGACAAATATAAGCAGAAAGCAAAAGACGGTTGATTATTAGATACTCTCAAATCTCCCCTCCCAGTCACAATAAAATTATTCTAAAGGAAACAGTGCGCGCCCGAAGAGAATTCATAACCACAACAGAATGTTAAACCCCCCATAGAAAGATTTTCAAGGCCATTTCGTACAACGAGTGGTAGTCGAGTCAAAAGGCGGCAAAGCTTCTCCTTGAAGTCCTCAAACACTTCAGTGTGGTAAATAGAGTTGTAATGTAGGTAGACTTTTGTGCAAACTGAATGCAGTTGCTCGGAGGGCTCAGCTAAAAACTGGAGAAGCTCACTAGAAATTGATGCATGCTCCGGGTCAAAGTGCCAAGCGAGGAGCGACAGCATCGTTTGAGCACTCTCTGTAAATTGTACGACAAGTTCCTTCGTGTAAAGTTCCAGTAGCCGGTTTTGGGCCAAAGCCTGGAGAGTCCTCTCGCCAGGGCTCTTTGCGAGGGCTTGGCAAACATTGATGAGACTAGATGCCTCAGATTCCAAATGGAGCATCACTGATTTGCTTGGCAGCTTCATTTTGCTCAAGAACAGTCCATGAAGGGCTTTCAACGTGATGTGCGCGGACTCCATCGATGTATGCTTCAAGGGTTTAGCGACTGGTCGTGAATATGGGTCGTAACCTTACCTCTAAGGACTGCTCTACTGTCATAGCAGGAAAAGTTTAGTCTGGAGAAGCAAAATTTTATAGTCGACAATCACTTAGAAAAGATTGATATGTATGTCATCTGAAGACTTGTAGCACAGCTTTATACCACTCGGGTGGAACCCAATCCTTGGGTCAATTGGACATCTGTCAATGGACCGTGACGAGACCAGACACCCCTGTCAGCGCTACAGTAGCGCCAGTAGTCACAAGTCTAGATCAGAAACAAAAAATAGCGCCAGAACGATCATATTTCTGTAAACCCAGATTTGTGGGGCTTCGTATGGGTCGCTGAGCCCTGCCGAGCATTGACGCGAGGATCGTCATAGCTTCGTAATCTAGTTCCCAGGAACCTGCGCCAGTAGTGAAACCCTTCGACTATTACCGATTTGGCTTGGTAGCAGTACACACCAGATTTTCTGATTGCCGCCCTAAACGACTGGAATACTGGTTGAAAAAGCCGTTGCGCTGCAAACAAGCCACCTCTTACGCTTAAAAGCCCACAAAAATGTCGTCTTAAAAGTGAGCTTCTGAGAGGCATGACTTATCAGTGGCAATTTTGCTAATTTCCAGGGTAAAAATGGGATGTGCGACACTAAAATTCTCAAAAGCTTGTCTTATTATGGAGTATTGTTTCTTTTGCATTCTGTGGAAGTCGCTGAAATGGAGCAAGAGTTTATTGAAGATACCCAAATTGAATGAAGTGCTATTTAGGTACGATCTGTTTCTAGCTCCAATCCAGCGGACTTGAAACGGGCCCAAAGACCCAAAAGGGCGGAACGAAACTTTAGGAGTTCGCATGCTGCCATAGGCTGACGAATATGCATTTCCCAGATCCTCTGGCAGATATATTCTTGCTTGAGTTCGTGCAATTCAAAGAAAGGAAGAAGAAATTGCGAGACGCCGAAAAAGGGAGTTGGATCATATTCCCATCTCAGTAGGGACAATAGTACTATCTGCCATTCAGCAATGTCATCGACGATATGCTGTAGTCTTTCTGGGAAGGCTGGAATTTGCAATGGAACTTCATAACGGAACTGCATTGGAAGCGACGCATCTTTATCCAACTTCTCAAACTTCAATCGAGAAGCTTCGCAGTACGTAGCTACCACAGAGATGGCTGCAAGCTTGTTAAAAGCGTGAGGTTGCTGTAGGCAAGGGACATGTTAGCTTCACGAGAAAGATGACAGACGAGAGAGGCTTGACTGACATCCATCATGGTCCAATATAGGGTGCAGTCAGACACGGCCAATTCAGGGAGAATTCTTGAGGACAGGCAGGTGACTAAAGAGATGAGACATTCCAATGGTAACGAAATCGAGATGGCACTGACTTATATTATTATACTGTGAGCTCCCAATTTATATGAAAATTGGGAATTGTTAACACGGATACCTGTAAGTTCATAATTCTCGATAAGAATTAGCCAATCCTTTGGTCAACATGCAGACTCCGAAGGGCCCATGAGCAGACCGAAACCCCTTGTTCGCGCTTTTGAGGCCACGATAATGGATCTAAATCAGTATAGGCAAAGATCTGGGCTACAAGAATCACCTTGCCGCAAACCTAGCGTTTTGGGGCTCACTTCTTCGACTAGTTCATCCGACCAACCATGTTGGGCAAAGCTCCCCTAGCGCTGTTCCTAGGTATCACCTCTGTAATTACACAAAGTTTCAATACAGCATAATACATCGAATTAAATTCTGAGGCAAATGGTGGGAAAGGACAAACAGGCAGATTAATCTTGAGGTCGCTTGTAATGCTTGGAACACTGGTATGAAATGAGGATCCGCCACAAAGCCACCTCCTCCCTTGCGCTCACATGGCCCTTCTCTGCAGAAGGCTAGGCCAACTGCATCATTTCCACGATGGGTTAGTTCATGTAACCGCACATCACATCTTTTCTCATCTAAGCGCTGTATACAATCCTGATATTTGGCTGCACCAGGAGTGAATTGTTCAATGGAGCCTGCGCATTAATCGTCCACGTGACCTCAAATCCATATATTCTATAATGTCCTCAGGACCTCATTTTCTGTTTCTCTGATACAACCTTTTTGGACCCCCCTCCCCACTCCCTCTCGCCCGTTGAGCTGCGGCCTTCAGTGTGTTGAGGAAAAAAGATCAAGATTCATGCTCCGTTGGCCATGGATTTCCCTCCGACATATTATCCCCAAATCCTGCCAAATAGCAAGGCACCTGATTTCAATGCCAATGGCAATGGGTTCCTGTCCGATGAATATGTAAATGGGTACCGACCTGAGACGCAACATCATCTATACCAAAGCGCTGTTTTTCCCAAATCCGGTAGGCTTTGCCTTCACATTATGCCATGGAGTTTCTAGAAGCGATGTTTACAGAGATTGATACTCGCGAAAAATTCAGGAACCTCGTCAAATATTCCTAATCCCAACATTCCAAAAGCCACGAACCCCCCAGACTACCGCCCAATTCGTCCGCCTTTTGACAGCGCACTTTTAGCTGGACAATATGGTCAGCCTTATGAGCAGCAGACCTTGGGACCGCATTATCAGAATTATGCTCACCATATGCACATCTCCATTCCCAACTATGGATATCAGTTGGCAGACGATGGAAACAGTGCGACCTCAGTTGGTGCGAAGGCGAAATCTCGAGAAATACATATACCTGACAACAAAGCAAAAAAATCTGGTTCGAAAGCTCCAAGTGAAATGGTCCAAGGAAGTTCTGACTCTTTTAGGATGTTCTGTGAGAGCGTGCAGCCTTTGCAGGAAAAGAAAAAGAAAGTGCAGTTCTAGAGTATCAGGAGAATATCCTTGCCTGCAATGCTCCCGAGCAGGTGCGAATTGCAATCCCTCGATGCTGTGGGTGAATCGAAAGGAGCATTTCAGTTTAGAACCTGACAGAAGCCTCGAGGCCCACAAAGTCCAGACCCACCATTCTCAGACGTGCCTGGCATCAGAATATGGTGATAGTGGTTCTATTGCAGATAGCTTGGTCAAGACTGAGCGAAACTTCATGAATGTCGACGATATGAACGGGAAGTATTGTCGCGGGGGCTTGCACACGCATAGTGAGGGCTCGCAGATTTTGAATTCAAGAGACAGGCAAGTATAAACGGGAGAAATGAGTAAAGTCTCATCCACTCATCCTCTACAGCCCTCTTTCACAGCCGCTAACCCACCATTGCTCACAGAGCTCAAGGTCAATATCATCAACATCAGACTGTTCCTATCACCTCGGCTTCGGATTACCAGTTGTCACCCTTGCATTTGGTCTCTGGTTGTGAGCAACACACAAGTGTCAACCCACTTTTATCATGCCAAACCAAATTATCATTAACGCAAGCCCCCTTCAATGCCGAAACGACGGGAGACGCGCATGAAAATTCATCTAGCGCTCCCTCCACGAGGAATGAGGAAAACCCCTGCCCCGTGGACCAGCTTGATAAGAATGACGATACAGTCTATCCGATTATCGATGCAAACCCGACATGTTGTGGACCCCGGGCAGATTTGGATGGCTTTACTTTCTGTATCGAGTGGCAGCAGTTCAGTTATGTCAACGGATTATGGATGTAGGTGACCCTGATTACCTTGTGTTGAATCCCGCTTATAAACAGATGGTATCCCGAACGCCGCGCCATTGTGGAATTAACAAAGCAAAAACTTAATTGGAAATCCCGAGAAGTTCATGCACTGCTAATGGAGCCCTGTGTTGCCAAATGCTTAAGTGAAAACCCGACCGTTGGATGGCCGAGGGTAATTTTCCAAAACGAGTATGTCCTCAATCCAGCGCCGAGATACCCCGTTAACCACGGTATCACTAGTATCAACTGCGTGTGGGTCTGAATTCTCCAAAGCTTTTGCTCCTTATTAACAAAGCGAAGGGCATTCTCGATAGCAGGAGCAACAATTGGACTTGATGAAACACCGGTTACAATTCAAGCTAATTTCTCACAATTTATTCCGGAATTTCTTTCAAATCTCGATCCAATTTCAAGCAATCCCTTGGCTGCGGCAAATTACGACGAAAGTGCCGCAGTTTCAAAGTCAAATACTGCAGAGCTCATAGAAGACAGAAAACGTGGAAGTGGTATGGTAGACCAGGCATTCTCAGAAGCAATACTGATATCATGTCTTTAGAGATACCCAGCAACGCCAAGAAGGAGCATGTCGTTGTAGCAGAGCAGGCCATATTGGCGCTCGTTCGCCGAACACGACTCTCCCAACCTTCTCGTCGCACTCTGAAAGAGCTCTATGAAGCTAGCTTCAATAGCCTCCACGCTAGAATGTGTCGAGACCTTCTTTACAAGTGGGTAGCTATTATGAGGAATGCGAAAGGTTCGCTAAATGTAGAGAGACCAAGCTGGTGGCCGGAGAGCGTCCGATACACGTCTGCTAGCAAGTTGCGTGGCCCCGGTATGTGCGCATGAAACATGATATTTACACTCACTAACACCTCAAAGAGATCAAAGCGGTTCTCTTCCATCTTTTCTATGGAGAAGACAGCTATGTGCCGCTTAGAGCGTTCTACACCGCCTGCAGAGACATTAATATTAGTAAAACGGACCAAAAGACTTTATCATGGACTTTCTATATTCGGAACGTTTGTAAGACCGATACGATGCTACGTGGGTGCCCACCAGCTCTGCACTTTTTTAAGCATCAGCTGACAAGAAACAGGCCTACATGAGAACACTGCATTCCCGAAACAGGCGCATTGAACATTCCAATGTGACATGAAGCCTCTTCGAGCAAAGCGCGGAACGACCAGGTATATGGCTCATTACAGATCAATTTCACAAAAAATTGAACAGCAGAATAATAATTTTGATACGTAGAAGTATTAGGAAGGAATGCAGTTATAAACATTTGTTTGTCCTGTTTTTTGTTTTTACTACAGCACAAAAGAGACTACTTATCTTCTTCGACGAGTGGTCAGCGTAGATGAAAAACAAACACATACTGTGCAAAAGAATATTAAAATTTGAGATAGGACCGAATATATCACAGGACTAAACTCAGTAAATTGTTATGGGTTAGAAAATTTCACTTGCAAGCATTGAACAATTGCTACCTATCTCTATCTGAATTGTCAAACAGGAAAAGGTCCGTAAAACACTGCCCTCCGAACCCGTTCACCAAAACCCCAGCTAGCACAATTTGTCTCAGCTGTGATTGCAGAAGAATTCCATAAAGCTTTTTGGGTCCATATTTCCGTTGGCGAATTTGCTGTTGCGTGTTACGGAACCACCCTCGAGGCTGTGCTTTTCGACGACGACTGAACCGATTCTTCTGTCTTCGTAAACGCTACCGTTAATCACTTGCGAGCTATCATCAATTTTGGTGGCGTTGCTAGAGTGGTGTGTAGCTGTATATCCGATTAGCTGCTGCATCAAAACCGTGCCTGCAAAATCAGAGACGACGGGAACGGCGGTTGTACCCCTCATGTTTCTATGGTCGTTTTCTCCTACTGCAGACGAAGTACACTGGTTAAAAAATTCAAGTCAGTCGAAATAATTGAAAAAGTAGTGTTAAAACCTACCGTAGACTCCGTAAGTAACCCTCGCGGTTCCTGATAGGATGTAACGGTCGGTCGAACATCATCATTACCATCATCATGAGAACTTTGGACTGTGGCTTGGTTCATACTGAGAAATTCTTCTGAAAATAAGCAAAGAAACTGTAATTTGATTTATTCCTTGGGTTGGTGCAGAAAAGGGAAGTGGACGGACAAGTCCACTTTAAATAACTTTGACCACTGGTAAATACAAAGTATGCCGTAAGTTTCCTGCATCATTTATTACGCTGAAAACAGCTACCTACTCAAGCCCGAAGTAGCCAGTGAGAACCCTCGGCAGGCGGATCCAACAGCATACGCGAAGCGAAGGTTCAGACCACGTAATTGTCGGTTATCTCGGACCCCTTGACTAGAAAACAGCAATGGAATTTATCGTATAAATTACCTCCACTAGTGACGTGCTATCAGCCAGGGGGTAGAGCCGGTTTGAGGAGAGACCGGCGCTCGTGTTTAACACCGTCTTTGCACAGGGTAGCATTGCTCATTTTCCTGTGAAACCAATCCTCGAGGTAAAATAATAACCTAATTCTCCTTGACACTGAGGTGGCTTCAGCAGCGAAAAGGCCTTAGTATGCTGGAATAGCCAACAAGGACCAACTTGCGGGTGGATCACATCATTTGACTTGCTATTTGGACAAATAGAAGTTTTATACCACGGATTTCGATTCTGTCTCGGTACCTCCGGCTATCCTATCTGACCAAGATCAGACTAAATTGTCTCCCCTGGGGTCCGCCCTAATCTGTATCTTAAAATGTGCGCATGTCCTGCTATGCCTATTATCTCCTGCTCTGAGTAACAGATCTCTACGCATCTTGCCGGAATGTCTAGTGTGCTTTGAAAGCTTCATCTGTTGCATATCCCTCTATACCGTTACTTGCCTGTTCTCTTAATTACGTGATATATGCCTGGAACACAGAGAATATTTCTCTCTCCTACGTGCCCGCACAGAACGCTGGGTCCATGGTTATGATCTTCAACGTTGTGAGAATCTTCATAGAACTTCATATTGAGATTTTTGCCCGGCCTGGCAGTAGGATAATGGAAAATGATTTATTCAAGATCTAGTCACACTCTGGCACTGTGCAAAGCAGTCTGTGGGGTGACACCGGAATTGGTTGGCGTTTCGGGGCTTTGCTGGTCGAGGGAAGGTTAGCGCTATATTTTCTGGAGCAAGGAATCCGGAGAGGATAAGAGAAGGATGAATACCGTGATTATCTGCTGTAAAAATGACCACAGGATCCTTGCTTTGGAATTGGAATGGCATCATTCTCGTCTCTCGGGTGGAACGTCGTAGCACCATATTCGCAAGTAGGACACCTTTGGGCAGCGGATAAGATTCGATATCCCAATGCTCTTCCAGATGATTCGAACGCGGATTGAAAGTCAGATCAAGCTCAGCTCAAACTGAATCGTGGGCGAGTAAGAAGACTGGAGCGAGGAAAAGCGTGGAATCTGACCCGCTCCGCTTGGACTAGACTGAATCTGGGCCACAGTCATCCATGAAATGGGATAGCCTGGAAATTCCTGCCTGGACGCGTCAGTACCATTTATACCATCGGAAGGCCGGATATGCTGGCCGCGACTGGCCCGAGAAAGAAGGCAGATTCTGACCTACAATCGGCTCATCCGCCGGTAAATTAAGCGTTACTTTGCGGCGCTGTGAGTTCTGTCTCTGCTTGCTTTTTCCTCTGCGAAAGCTATGTTCTTCTCGGTATGCTACGCCTGTGAACTTGCTGTTGTGATTGTATCTGGTAACTTACTTCATCATGCTCATTCTTTTTCCCTCCCAAGAAAGACAGATCACGACCAGGGGTCAGGGCACGCTTACACATTCAGTTCAACCTCCTGGCTACAACCATCGTTCAGAAGCTGGAATGTTGGCGAGGCTCTTCCTTTCACCTCCGACCACCGAAGCGATTCCCACCGACCGAAGCGACTTTCGAAACCCAACCCACATCTGGCTACACCTGGAGTATCATGGGCATGCAACCCAATGGAGCCAGATTCTATTTGAACAATGAATGGAAACTCAGGTGAGGGTGGAGCTGGTCTAGAGGTGATAGACTCTTCCAATCGCACGTCTTCGTACAGGATAGCATTCCGAATCTTCCTGTGAAAACAGACTTCATTTTCTTTTTGGCACTACATGGCTTGAGTTGCGCCAAAAGACCCTTGTATCCTGGTATGTCCATTGCAAAACAACAGGTCCGTCAGATGATTAATGAGTTACTTGAACAACAGTTCCTATTAACGTTTTGGAACCTGTACCGATACCTTCGGTTAATCCTATCCGTGGTCAGAACAAACTGCCCTCAGCCCACTGTCTTCCATTGAGTCACACAAAATTTATGATATAAGCCGCGTGGACAGCTTCAAAATAGCTCTTCCCCTGTACAACACTCTCTTTGCCGGCTGGCTAAACTCTTTACTAGATTATCCATTCCGAAAGCGCCCCTGCTTGCTTGTCAAACAGTCACTGTTCCGATATGGCTCAAGGCATTGCTCGATGCCATCATCACAACAACCCACGATCCCAATACCGCTCCTCCACGTATCCTACGTCCCACAATTCCTGATCCCAATATTAGTCCTGAGTTCTGGCCCTCTGTAAAATCACCTGGTGCCAAATCAACGCCGCCTAAGCCGCCTACCCACGGAGACCTACCCACGGAGACCAACTGATGAACGAAACATACAATCCGACAGACCGAAGAGGCAGGTAATTGGGGTGTCACGATCTCGGAGTGGATTTTCCCGATATTGAAAATGCGCTTTGCAACTCGGTAAAACTGCCGAGAAAAAGAAGACCAAATTGTGTCAATACCCATGGGATAGAAGACTCTGCTCAAAGATGCCTGGCGTGCTGCCGTTACCTATTTTAGGTCTATCGGATATACATGAATCAGAGCTCGGTACAGTGAGTCAGCTTTTGAAAGCGCAGCATCCACCAGGTTCTATTGCTAATATGCCGTGCATCAAAGCTAGCCCGTCAATTCATCGAAGGCTGTCCTCTTTCCGTTACTGTCTATCCTGGCTTCTACCGCGGCGATGCTATGGATGGAGAACCCAAAACATAACTCGATATACTCTAAGCAAATATAATCTTGCTTCGCATGTGCTTATTTGCACTAGCAAGGCATGCCGCAATAGCAGCCTTTTTGGTTGCTTTCATTGAAACACGACTGTCAACCCACAGGCATTGTAGTGTTTGTAACGCATACCATTCATAGCAAGAAGCTGCTAATTTTGAAATATATACTGAAGGTACCGACCACGAAGGACCAACCCGATAATTCCCTCTTCTTTCACCTCCGATGTCTCTGAACAAAGCATGCCAAATCCATTGTCCCCACCAGTCTCATCAGCCTGTCTGCTCCGTGTTCGCTCCTCGTTAGAGAGTCGTTCGATTCGAAACTATATAACAGCTACGGACACGACCATCCAGAATACGCAAGCAACAGGGATATCTTTCCGCTCAAGACTCAAAAAAAGGAAAAAAGCTTCCACCAAAAGAATCCGCGTTTGCTGCCGTAACTGAGTTATACAATGGCGCATGATACACTGGTTCAACCGCTGAGACGGGTGCGCCAGTGCCAAACGAGTTATCAACGGAAGATATTGGCAAACTTTCGGCATACCACTGATCTTCCTCAAATAGGTGGACATTTCTTTGTAGATCTTGTTCAGTTCCATAGAGGCAAGGAACTACTGGGTACAAGAAATGCACCACAAGCGGGGGAGGTCTCAATGGCACCAAAAGGTTGAGAATAATTTTTTCAACATCGAAGCTGCAACCTTCTAGTAGCTCTCCCGAGCCGTCTTCCTCTAGCCTCTCTAGAGCTTTGACGTTAGTCCGGTAAACGAACTTGTTGATGGCTTCGACAAACTCGTCGTGTAATTTGACCAACTGAGCTTGCTTCTGTGGCCAGTTCAAGCTGTATTTAGCTGCATCAAGTGTTTGAAATTCTTCATGGAGTTTTGTGAGGGCATCGATCGTCTCTTCGGTCAACTTAAAGGCCATCTCGTTCTGTGAGACCATGTCAACATACAGGACATATGCTTCGATGTGAATCATCTCAAGTGTGTTCTCCAACATCACCGAGGACAAGGACCATATTGCGCTTTCCGATTCCAGTTTCTCAATGAGAAAGCAGGTTTGCTGTTTGAGACTGTTCAAAGGTTGCTGAGGCTGCCTCACTTGCTTCAGAATCTCTATCAACCAGGGGATTCTTTTATCCAGCACTACTATGGGCCGCGCTCGGGGCGTAAAGGCGGCAGCAGAAGAGGGCAAAATGGTAGTCGGCATTTTCAATAGAAAGTCGAGGAGTGTTTCGCGGCAAATATACGTTGGGCTTTAAGTAATGTCTTAAGAAGCACCATCAACGTTTACTAAGCCAATTTCTCGACCACGTTACCCCAAAGCGCCCAGCGTATTGCGCTGTATTGGAAAGCCTTTGTATTGAAGCTAAGTGGGACTGTGTTTGACCCCGTAGTAGCATGTGGCCAGGCGTTGGCCTGTGCCCTTGTGACTCTGGAACTTGGGTCATGGCGCGCCTAGAGTCACAAGCGTCTTGCGCAGGATTCAAACTCAATTTCTCACGCAAATGAATTTGCAATAGTGCATCGTAGGCTAGGTAGACAGAGCTATCCGCATATGGAAAAGGAGCGGTATTCAGTGTCCTGTGCCCGAAGAACAGGGCGGTATTAGTTGGTCTCTACCCACCAGCTGATTAGGGGGAAACCTCGCATGCTTCCTTTCTTCCGGCGTGCAAACCCTTGGCATGAAATCCTGAGTCGATTCGTTTTTACCTATTTGATAACCCACATTCGTGGAGAAGCCTAGGATAGCCATTGGCCTTCCCGCTATCCCTTCTTCTCTTTTGAAGACCACCATAAGGTTCCGACCTTAGCCCAAAGCAGTTGTAACATCTGCTAGGGGTTGGAAAGGCGAGTCTTTCCCTCTGATTGAGTCTTTTCGGGACCTCTAGTGTACGCATCAAATTCGATTACCCGAATATATTGCCTCTTCAAAGCCTTCGCAACACATCAGCTTCTCTCCGGAAAAGATCTGCTGTCCTGACTTGAATTCACTCCTGAACAATTTGAGGATTCGGATGCCTTGAGATCATGACGAACAACATCAAATATCAGCCACTTGATCAGGTTTACCCTGCCTCGCCATTTATATGGGTATATCCGGAGAACTTTACCACATCTTCAGCCGAGACCGATCAATCTAGTACCGCGTCGAACCAACTCAGCGATTTTCCGATCAACGTCCAGCATCAAAATGACATTGAAGCACGTCATATCTCCTTCCAGGTCAAATCGGTTGGCAATTCTCTTTGTGATGGCATGGATACTTTTCGGGAGTCCGACGGGGACGCCCACCCAAGGCCCACAAACCACTCTATTGCAGCCTCAATGCAGAGGGCACATTTCAACGGTATGCAGAAATTCTCACGAGGGACGATAGAAATTGAAGAAAGGCCGCAGAATGAGTAAGAAAAGAGCATCCTTTACCATGATATAGCTAACACGTGATTCATACAGGAGACAGTGGATAGAGAAAGCTACCGGCTATGTTCCCTCCCAGCCCAACGAGTCGACACCCCAGTTTGTGCAGTCAATTAAGAGATACCGGCTGCCATCACCCAACTCCAACCATCGCAATTCAAAGGGGATCACTTTGTCATGGGTCAATTGCCGACTTTCGACGGATGAATGTGAAGCATTAAAGAGTATACTGACAAGATTTAGATCGAATGGCACTCGTTTTCGAAGGTATTTCTATTGTGATGTCCTACGGAGCTTGGATTTAAATACATGTACACATATTCTGTCACTCTGGATGTGGGCGATGGGCCCCTTAGTGCCAGAAATTTCATCTTCGGGCACCGGTTCAATGGATTCAGAGAGACATGGTATGTGACTTCAAGATAAATTTCCGAAATCAGGGACTGATTGCCCCAGACACCCGCAGAGAGCTCTGTTACATATTGCAAGGGAGCCACAACGCAAAGCTTCCGTTTCTGAAGCTCCGTGAAGCTCTGTACTCTTCTGGTATTGAGGTCCAACATATCCATGAGGTGGAAAAGCTCCTGCTTCTACGTGAAATTGAGGAGCTGGAATGGTAGGAACTTTTGGTCCACTGCTGTGAATATTAGGGCTGATTCATTTTAATGACGCAGGGAACACGATCTTTCAATCAACAGCCTGAGACACACCTTTCAATGAGCTACTAGAGCTTTTCAACCAGGTGTGGCTGGCTTAACATGTGACAATGGGGAACATACTTGGAACAGAAATACTGGAACAATCTGACTTGCAATTCCGCAATGTTACTTCTTCGCGTGCAATTATGCTTGTATCATAGTCTAGTAGTCTAATTGTCAGAATAACTCTCCTTTTCGGACGACCGTCTATGCTGGTGTTATGAATTCGGTCAAAGACAAAAGATTGGGCTCTTGATATCAACACAGTTGCTATAATCTCTCCCTTTTCATTTCTTTGTATGAAGAATAAAAAAATCAGTGATTATTTCTTCATCTTTAACTATCTTGGTATGCAGTCGGAGTATACCTCATTGTCACTCTTACTCATACAGAAGGGTCGTGCGGAAATGCAACTCTGCAAGGTGATTCAGCGGGTGGAAGTGCGCTCCTCTAGTTGTCTCTGGCTGATAATTGCATGCCCACTGTATCCGAGAGCCTGCTTAGATGGCGGAAACCGACCTGCTGATTGGTATATTCTTCAATTGTTGCGCTTCCCCCCAATGAACCTCATAGTCTATTCTCCGCTAGTCAACCACCTGCACATCAAGGCCATCAGTTAGCTTTTTGGAGAAAGCTTAGAGCCATCTGTTATTGACAGGCGAGCCTCTGTTGGTATCGTGCGAGGGGCTCGATTTGAAGCGGAGATTATTTCGGAGGACCACAGCTTCTCGACATAACGGGGAGGAATCGACCGGGGGAGCTTTCTCTCGAGGTTGGATATTCGGGGATATCTATAGATAGATGTCAGTATTATAGAAAAGTTGAACTTTTCTCCAGTGTCCAGGAGGTACGCACCTCACTCTGAAACTGATATGACGCAGGCGTGATTGAGCCAGAGGTGGTTTGGATCTCATGTTTCATCTCGCATTCTCGCATTCAAGGCCAGAGACAGTGGACAGTGTGCAAAAGAAAGCCGCGCCGAAAGAAAGAAGCAACTTTGCGAAGATTTCTTTGCGCCTGAGTGTAGGAAGTCTGAGGTGAGGTGGTACGCTCCATCTGCCGTCATGTTGTCCACAGTATTCATTACTCATGCCACACGTCCACTGGCTATTGAGTGAATTGTTGGCGATGAAAAGCTTGAATCATACGTACATTGTCAAGGCTGTCAGCCCTTCATCTTTGAAACCAATCTCTTGCGTGGGTAAAGGTCTGGATCGGGACGGACAAAGGTGTTCCGGCTAACTCAGGCTGCCCCTTCAGCACCTGATCTCGGGTTATTAAACCCATCCCACCAGCCATCTGTTGCTTTCAGCCACCGAAGAAAGAGTGAAATCTTGTGGAGTCTTGGTCCTCTATTCTCTTCATATATTCAGGTAAGATTCAGGTCTTTGCTTTTCGCCATCTCAACCAGACTGATTGTCTTTCCCGTCGATTACTTCGTCTCTAGAAAGTTGCAAGCTGACAGCCATATTCTCGAGTATAGTGCAAGCTTCGCGCATCCGATCCTCCAGCTCACTGATCTCGAAGAGCTCAGCCCACCAACGCCGTATGGTGCCTCGCGTCAAGCCTTCACTCGACTGAACCTTGCTGTTCATTCAGTATACACGCAGCAGCGGAAGCCCCTTTCACCTTACGGAACTCGCTCGAGCATAACAGCCTCAAGGAAAATTATGCTGCTGAAACTGCGAAGGGAAAAAAGCCTACTTGGCTATGGTTGCTAGAATGCATGATGTTTGATATTCCAGGTCTGTTTCTCTTCCTATGGGCTTTCCGTGAGAAAACCATTTCGTCGTCTGTTGACTGCAACGTGACTGAGATCTTCAATCGGTATCTATTAAAGAGAATTTAAGGACTCAGAGTACATTACACACAGTCTTCGTCTCGGCTACCATTGCCTACAACCCTCCTTTCGAAAGCATCATTTCTGTTCCCCAATTTCACGATCCCACCCCTCTCGCCGACTCGCCCAATAAAGATTGTCCTGCTCGCGAGACATGGATGGAAGCAATGGATAATAAAGCGAATCACTTGCCTTTCTCTTGGCTGGTCGAAAGAGATCAGGGGACATAATCAGCTACCATCGAAACCCTCGATGTCTGTCGGAAGGCCAAAAGTGATTTGCAGAGACCTATATCTATTCCATAGGCTGCATAACTGGCGCCTCAAAAGCTCAATGATGTAGAGGAGTATATTCAAATTACTTCTCGGCTGTATATTTGTTTCAACAAGTTCACAGGGTTTTTATCTCGATACTCGTCCTGTTCTCAATATCAAGCTCGGTCATGCAGGTCGCGTATAACAGTAACAGCCTTCGCGTCAACACCCCATATTGCGATGACTGTCTTGTAAAGATAAGCGTTCAGTGCTGGCTCAGGATTGGACGCCGATAACTTTTCTGTCATTGCTGTTGTCAATTCCAAAATCATGCTTTGACCCATGGTTTGCTGCGAATATTCCTTTGAGCATTTATAACAGCTGATATAAATATAGATGTCACCGCCATAAGGATAAGCCCACTCGCACATTCTGAGGTTCCCGCATGGGACAGTTCCGTTCACATCAGGAAAAGAAGACGTAAAGTTTTCCCCACAGGTCATGCAAACGATAGTGGTAAGCTTGTTTCGAGTACCAGTAAATTCAAGGACCGCTTCAATAAGAGATCCGGCATATTATTCACGTCATGCATCTGCTCGACCATTGTTGCAAACAGACCAGTGACTGAGCTTGCGGTGGTCAATATCGCTCTTTCGTGACATTTGTTCTGGGAACTCACATCCAGAGGCCGAAGAGCTAAGGACTGGATCAGGAAAAGCCTCCTCCTGGTGCAGCAGAGCGTTTGTGAAGGTTCACCAGGCTTATTGGTAGAAGGAGTGTTTTACTATACGGTGGACCTCGCATTCAGAAAATCGGATCAAGGGTCAGTGCTCTTACCAAGACCCATTCAGCTAAGCAAAGGTATGGTATGGTCTCATGCTAGTAAGGATGCTCCACAGTATTCTGACTCGTAAGTTACGTACTTTTGTGTTATAGCCGAGGTGGAGACCGAGTCCAGTTATGGTAAAGCTCACAGAGTTGGCGACAATGCCGAACTAGTTTATATTCAATCCAGTACCCTTCTCCTCCGTGTGTGTTTTCCGACCAGCATATCTGAGGATCCAATCCCCAACGAATTTCGCCCCGGATCCAGTCAATACATCTGGTATTTTCTCGCCATTGGCTATTTGGAATATATCTTTGGGCCAAACAACACAATTAGCACATTCGTTCAGCCTCGCCCAGCGACGACTACTTTTTGACGAAAGTGGGAATGGCAGTTCATACAAAGTAAGGAGTGGCAGCCGATTTTATGTCACCTTGGAGCGCATATTGATGAGACACTCACTCTCCAGTGCCAGTGCTACTGAACCAAACCTTGTGGCAGCGCCGTGTACGTCTCGCCTACCTGGTCAGTCCTGAACCACTGTATTTTGAGCCACTATTGAAACCTGCAGGCCCCCCTTGGTCCCTCCTGTCAAACTATTTGCATTCGCAATTTGATCCCCCTCAACTGTCGGTTCATTGTCCCAGGTCTTGCCGAGAACCAGAACAACAACAGTCAGTCCTCTTCTATCCACAAAAAGATCGTTGACTTACAGCCCTCATCCATCTAGGTTACCAGTCGACATGTGAGTAGAGTGAATTTTATGAGAATATTTCCATCTTACAATATCATAGGAGTCATTCATCTACCAAATTACATGCACCCTTCCCGGTAACCGCAGGATTGGCAGATAATTCGCAACCGATACATACTTTTGACTGCGAGCCTCAAAATTCAGTGGCGCTTTGGAATAGAAGCCTTTCCAACCCGCCAGGTTCAAATGCTTGGTCCTCAATTATCCCCATTTCCGCCCTACCAGAAACCAGTGCTGTTGTGTGTCAAAGCCAGAGAGACAAATTTGATCACCATTGCTCACACCAACCTTCAAATTCCCAAGGTCATGGCAGCAACAGTTTCAATACCGGGATCAATCCCCAACTGGCCTCTGAAGGTATTTCTTTTATTCGGCAACTGAAAGAAGAAAGCCAAAATGCCAATGTATGCTGGGAGGGTGGTTGCAATGGCCGTACGTTCTCAACTTTCAGCAATCTTCTCCGTCACGAACGAGAAAAACATAGAAATGGCAACAAAGTGGCATGCATGTTATGTGGCTGTACATTTACTCGTACGACTGCTCTCAATGTTCACCTAAAGAATAAGGTTTGCTCAAAACCTAAGCGAAAGAGGCCCTAAGCCTCAATGATCAACTTGGTGTTTTCAGCCACGCAGCAATATACAAATATTATTCCAAGTTTCGCTTCCTGGCCTGATTTATCATCTCGTATCTCTTCAGATGTGAAAATGTTCGGAAGCTGTGTAGTTGGTTCCTTTGAACAGAATAAGACCTTCTGGTCGTCATTATTTCGAGCATTGCTATTTTTTCCAGTGAAGCAAAGCTAACAACCCATTTTGGACGCCGTGATGGTGTAAAAGCGAGCAGCGAATACTTGGTAGTGTACATTATCAGGTGGGAATTGGCGAAGGTTGAAAATTGAAATAAACGTCATGAAGCTGCAGCTCCTGACGTTAATTACAACCTAAATCTTGTACTCGAATCAACGGTACGAGATTGATCGAGTAGCAAATGAACGTTAGATGATAACCACTCTGCTTTTTGGGCCTATAACCCTGCAGTCGCGAGTAATTTGGATGGGCGAGAAGGCATGATCGATTTCAACGCTCCTGGGAACAGTGGTTGTCAATCATGAAAACACAAATCTAAGGGTAAGTTGATTCAATGACAGAGAGTAGGGTTTTGCTCCATCCTCGTTCCTGGGAGCTAAAAGATCCACATTGGGTCAATTCAAATGATAGGGCTGTCCAAATGTTCATTTAGATATATTATTGCAATTTTAAGCCGCTCGGTCTTTACGCTTCTCAATACTTTTGCTGGCTTTTACTGATTAATATCACCTTTTCCACTTTTCCGCCTCTTACCACAGATCTTTCTGTGACATATCGCATCCATTTCAATACGAACTACCTCGCGTTGTTGCGCTTTATCATGTGCACAGAAACCTTTGTCTTCAAAGACCCAGGACGCTACCAAAGTATGTCGATATTGACTTCGGAGTTCATTCCGCCATCAGACTCCGATACACATTGTGCTTCAGTTGAAAACTTTCAACCCTTTTCTCTAGCCACCTCTACAGTGGACGACTTCGAAACTCAATTTTTAACCGCCAACCCGTATGGTGACAGCAGCGATGTTTGTCGGGACACACTAGACAAATTACAGAGCGATATGCAGCCTTCAGCACCTCAGAGCCATATTCAGCGGCCACCAACCCCTCCACTTCCTTTGTTCTGGGTTGGGGATGACAATACTTTCAATGGTAGGAATTGATTCTTGGGGACAAACGCTATTACTGAATGCTAACGCACTTAATAGAATCAGCTCACATCGCCGAAGCTACGCTGGTCTGCAATCCAGCCGATATAGTCTTGACCCCATTGCCATATCCTTTCCAGGCCAAATATCGGGCAGATGAGACGACTAGATTTCATATGTCTGCTGGTGATAATCCCCCTGCAAATTCACATATTTGCCGAGGTCCGCATTTTTCAAACATTCTCGACACTCTACCTCAAATCGAACCGGACTTGGGACTTAACCCAACCTTGACGGAAAAGACCATCCGGAATTCTTGCAATGCATTTAAATATGATGATGTGAATTCCACTTTTCCTGATGGCGCCGTCATGCCACCACACTGGATATCTTCAAATCAAATAGAGGATAGCCTTGACTATCATCGGAAACAATTGCTTGCTCGACCTCTATCACAAAATCCATATGAAAACCTTACCTTGACCACTAAGTTCGCAGAGCCGTCAGGGGACTGGGGATTCTGTTATTTGTCAAATGAACCAGAGCCACGAGAATATGGATCAGCGTCGATGCTTGATCACTTTTTCACCCTTGGCAATGTGCAATCGAAGAATGTTGGCCTTCTCCATCCGAATGACACTGGCGTTATTGCGCGGGAGAAAATGCAGGAATCACGTTATCCAAAGACGAAAGAAGCTTCCTTTTCTGGGTTTGATGATACTGTTCGCAATAATCAAGCTGTCCAGTATGAGTGTGGCTTTATTAGTCCATACACTGGAGAGCCTTGCAAAGACATCTGCTCCCGAGTATATGACTAATATATTCGTACAAAATTGATCACTTGGGAATGTGGGAAACTATTGAGTGCCATTTTATGCCGTTTTTAGTCAACTATAGGGTATAAATAGGGCGTATTATCAAAGCGTACATGTGAGAGGCAATAAGAACGATGATTTAGAATGATATTTCTGGGTACAAAAAGCTACCATATTGATGGAGGTGATGGAGGTCTAGCCTTTAGTGCTTAAGCTCAGCATGGATATAGTGAAATATGGTGGCCATCTATCTAGTTCCTCGGTGTGTCTGTCTAGAAATGCATGCAGTTTTTAGGCTTCAAGTCTTCAATCAAATTGTTCAGATACCACAAAGACCATTATTATTCATATACTGTCTTGTTGATGCTTTTGATCGGCACTTCCCGTTCCGTGTTTCTTGTGCGGCCTGTTCGTTTAGGATGAAGAGCGACTAAATAATATGGTTTTCCAATAACTTCATGTCTGCATCAAAGACAAGGCAGTGAATTCCGCAAGTCATTGTAAAGTTCGAATGAGACTTTGCTTTGACTATTCGATATATGAGTTGCACCTAGCTTGCAAAACCTGAAAGCAGCCGTTTTTAAGTTCATTCCAAGAAGGAAAAATTGATATTAACTAATTCTCTCATCCCCCTCCTCAGCGGAACTTACGTCGCCGCCGCTTCGCTAGACCTCTGTTTAGAGGCAGCAGGAGCTCCCACTGGTTTTGTTTGGACCACGACTCATACAACGTACACTGTTACTGTCATCCCAAAAAGCTCCCCGGCTACCAAAATTGCAGCTCAGCAGAAAGAACAGTCTGTTAATTTCTTATATCATGCTGAAGTATCCGAGCGTCAGAGATCAAGGCATCAATCTTCGTTCTCTTTAGACTCGAATCCTACGGCTGCTCCAGCTCCAGATCAGGATCAAGGCCTATATTCTGTGCAAACAGCAAGTCCTACAAGCTACGGCTATAGCAGCCCATGCTCTCAGTCAAATGCTTGCAAAGGCGATTTAACATTTTACAAAACTGCTAGATATGAATTCACCTAGTGCATGCGGAGTAACCAAAAATGGCGAGACTGACTTCGTTCTTGCATTGCCGCAGGGTCGTATGACAACAGGTGATTGTGGAAGAACTGTTCATATTGATTATGAAGGACGCAATTATGATAGCGTTGTTATTGGTAAATGCATGGAAATGTGATAACATGTCCATTGGTGTTTCCCAAGCTTTGTTTCGAAAGTTCTCGCCTTTGTAGAAGAGTCGCCTGTTTGGCGCAAAGTGGTACATTAGATAAAAGCTTGGTTAAGGCAAATAGCGTGATGAGACCCTTGAAGGCGAGCAGATTGGATCTTATAATCATCATTAAAAAGAATGAACGAACTATTTGTAGCTAGAAGAATTGAAACATGTTGCGGGTACACAGACACAACCATCGATCCAGGCCGAAGATGCGCCATATGAAAGTACGTTTCGTGGTATTCTGGGAATACTTGGACGCGCTTCATATACAGCAGTTTTACTCCTCTAGTAGGCGATATTCTGCGTCGCTGGTCCGAGGTAGCTATACAGTCATGCGTAGGTCTCAAAAAATGCGCTAGTTGAGGATCCTCCCAAGAAAACAAGGAGAATAGTTTGGGTCCCCAGCCTCGCTTGGATCAATGCTTTGCATATCCCCAATAGCGGAGGATCCGATTTGAGCCCTGGGCGTAGTCCATTGGGGTTGGCTTAATGGGGAAGATTTGCTAGGCCTTGTTGCTTGAGCAGATCGTACCGGTTGCTGCTTCCGCCGAGAAAGCCTGTCTGCTGTGTCTGGTACCTTGGAGCCCAAAACACTTTCCGTATCGAGCGAGATACAAGGCGTTCGTGATTCTTCAACATCGTTTGTTGGAGCTATTTTTGCGGACATGTCCGAATGAGTAGGTTCTATTCCTGGGACACCATCAAGTGTATCATCTTCAGCGGCGTTCGCTGACATATCATACTGAACATCAGCGTGAGAAGCATTTCCAGGTCGCTTTGATTGGGGCTCTGTTTGCATCGGCAGAACCTCTGTAGCGCTCTCAGGGGTCGGATAAGTGTCGTTCGGCGGAAAGGCCACAGCCAGTAGACTTTCCTGGTTAGAAAAAGAGCTCAATGAGCTCTCATTGCAGTCAGAGGTATTCGTCGTTTGGTCGTGTGAGATATCATGAGGAAGTGAAGGTTTTCCTTGGAGTCGAAGGGCCTTCTTTCGCTTGTTCTTTTCCTTGCCCTTGTTTTGATACCAAATAGCGTAAATACTGCTATGTTTCCGTCGGTGACCAAAATCTCGTTCAAATTCAAGCTCGATTTGTTTCTTTAAAAGATGTTTTCGAGCCTCAAACCATTTAGGAACAAGAATTTTGTGACAAGGGTTCCATGCTTTGCCGTTGTTAGCTGAGGGGCTCATATGTCAGCTTCATGTTTCGATTTCCTTAATTTGTTGCTCTCATACCCAAGTTCTTCGTTCCGCCCTTTGACGAGATTGTATTTTGCGTCTCAGTCACCACATGCTCTGAATAATCCGGAACCTGAGTTTCTGAAATCATGCTTTCTTGAGAAGCTATCGCGATAAAAATGAGTGAGCAATGTTTTCTTAGGGGCCGAATGAATTTGTTGACACATACAAAGTGAGTTCGCCTTTTCCTTCAATTTCTCTAGTAAGTTTTTGTTTGTTTCCACCACTAAGGCAAAGGTCATCAGTATCTTGAAATCAAGGGGTTAAGAGGATAGCATACATTCCAAGGCGATCTGGTTCCATGAATTAATTTCCGAAGATGCGAGAGAAAGCGTGTCCCTTTCCATCTGCACATCAGGTTCGTACGACAAGGGATGGATAAGCTGCTGGATGATGCCGGGTAGGAGAATATTGTGATCGAACTGGGATAATCCAACCGTAGCCCGTCGGCTAGAGATCCAGAGATGATAGGTCCCATCCTCTTGGGGCACGGGGTTGTAATTGGCATCAGCGACCTCAGACCAAGTTATGTTGTCTTTGCATGCGCTGTCGACTTCGATTAATTGCGGTCGTGGGCTTTTGAAGAGCGAATCTATGGTCTTGGCAATAGTGTTGCTCATGAGGGGAAGTCCAAGGTGTCGAGCAAGATGCATATTCTCATCAAGTACCCTGCTATAAGACAGAGAGAGTTCGAGGATTGAGCGAAGCTGCTCTTGCGAAGGAAGAAAATGTCTTCTTCGCAGATCCTCATTCCAGTCCAGGAAGGATGGTAATTTGTAATCTTTGGATCTTGGCTCCTCAGAAGTGGCGGCCAAGTCACTGACAGCTTCCATGTTTAGCGTAAATAAAGAAAAAAAGAGATGAATACGAAACGAGATTGAAGAGCCCGTAGATTCGAAGCGCAGAAATAAAAAAATCAAATCAGGCTGGCGTGCGGACCTTTATAGGGTATTATTCTCCAGGGGCTAGTTCGAAATGAGCATATCACGTGTGAGGACCAGAAATACAACTGAGCAGGTAGTATCGATCATGGCATATTTCCGATCATACAGCCCAAAATTACAAGGGACGTAAACATGTGCAAGTTTCGAATGCATATAGACATTGATTTTGTGAAACAGGATCGCTGGCAATTGTTCAATTCTCTCTGGTCATATCTATTACACTTCAACAAATGCCGTAAATATCATCGGAGGATCATTCATTCCCGACCCACCCTCGTCTAAAAGCTCCTAGAAGTCTTTCGGTGACACTCGAGTTCGAAGCTTTTGCAATGTACAGATCGAGGAAAGCAGCTTGTTTGAGTCGGTTTTCTCAACTTCACGACGACTGGATTGCTGGAAGCTGGTTCGCGATTGGACATGCAGAAAGGTTTGAAAGTACATCCTTTAGCGAGGGAAGTTGAATCGATGGCTTCTGGGTGTAAATAGTCCCGCCACTGCTCTCCAACATGTCACTGACAGAATTGCTCCCACTTTGGGTGCTAAAGCAGGATGAAAAATTCTCGGTATGATGTGAGGAGAAAATACTTCCGGTGCGGCGAGCGATCTCCTTATCCCTTAGCTCCCAAAACATACCCTCTGCTGCACGCGGCGGAACATCCATACCCTTAGCTATCTTTAACCATAGACCCGATCCATGTCTAAAAGGGGCAATGAAAAATTCAGTATCATAGAAGTATCACGGATAGACCAATGGCATACCTGAGATACTGTCGCACCAACTGGGTTTTTTTTGCGTCGTCCCAGTTGTCCCATCGCTGCAGGTAATTGTGATAACGGAGGCGGCAAGCAGTAGGGCTTCTCCCATTAAAATGCTTGCTGATGGATGACCATCCAACACGCTGATTTCGAAGCCGAACAATTGTCTTGTCTTCTTCAGGTGACCAGGCCTTTCGGGATGTGAGAGTCTGGGCGGTGGGTTTCTGTACCCTCGTGTCGTAGAAAGGTAGAACAGGGGCTTTTCGCATGTTGACGTTGCGCAACGAACATGGTGATGGATCGGAGACCAAGAAAGGAGCACCGGACAAATCCGGTTCATACGAGTGGCATGGTGTATGATACATCTTGATAAGTTCAAAAATTTGGGAAGATGAGAGAGGCCGAGAAATACAACAGGGCGTAAGTTCTTATTGCGGCTAAAAATACAGAGGTGGGCTTCCTCAACTTTATACTTGATATTGGTCATCGGGGCTTGTGCAGCGGTTGTGAGTTGGTTCCACCTTGAATCTTTTTTCCCAACATGACTGGTTAATTTAGCCAAGTTGTTAAAAGCACGTATCTACGACAGATATGGATGAGAGAAACGTTTTTGAACAAGATTGGGCAAGTTTCATAGAGAAATTTTCTATTAGTTATATTGAATGCTGAGTTGTACCGACTAATGGAGAAAATACTCGATGGCTTGGGGCAAAGAAATCTTGAGCTAGGAAGATGTTTCGACAGACTTTGCAGGCTTTCGAGGGTCTCGAGTATTGAGCACAATCCAAAGCGCCAATGCTATAAGTACGCCCCAGGCTTGCCAGGGGGAACTGCGGCCCAACTCAGCCTAGATAGCAAACGCGTGCTTCAAATGTTCATTTAGACTGGCAAAGGAGAAGAGCGGGATCTTTCGTGGAGACAACCATCTCGCAATGTTGAATATGGGTAAGGAATACAAGTTCCGGAGACACGGGAAAATTGACACGGAGGCCAAACTCTGTATGAATTATTTTCTGAGACTTATTTAAAGCAGCAATTTCCAAAATGCAGTTTAAATACGTTGTATTTTCATCTAGTGCCCACTCACAGGCATCATTACGGTATTTTACAATAGAAGCAAATCAGTCAATGTTTATTACGGATCATGGAGAGCGTCAGTATTTAACCCCCGCCGAAAAAGAACCATGGTTGCGTGAATGTGTCCCATCTTCCTCTGTTTTCCGTCTCCCTTATTTTTCATCTCCCACCGGCCCGAGAATCTCGCTTCCATTCAGGTGTCCCCAAAAAGGTGGGCATTATGGAGCCACGTTATGAGCGAACCGTGGAAACGCTTGAGCGGCGGCCCCCTAGACGTGGCCCCCACGCGGGGTGTGACAGCAATACATACAGTGATCATTCTTTCTGGCCATCAAACAATGCCATCTGGTGGCATGGTTGGCATACATTATGCACTAGCTTGTCCAATATCTCAACTTATTTCAGAGCCTAAGAAAGATTCAGTAAAAAGTGCGAATTGCCTAGAAACATCGGGCAGGCAAATGTGGATATCTTAGAGGCGACTAGGAAAACAATGCCTTCCGTAACTAGCTCCACCTGATTAGAGGCAGTCACGGAAAGTAGAATACATTAGGGCAGACTTGGAAACGGAGCGACTTGTTACTACAGCACTGTATTATAGAATACTTTACTTACAGTAACTAACCCGGAAAATAGAGTGGTATTTCTAAGAGATGTTGTTGACATCCATATAAAAACTTCGTATTAATACTGCTCACAAAGCGTCATGAGTTACACTTTCTGTCTTTCCCCTCTGCGTGCGTCATGGTTCCTCGTCCCTGTGAGAAATGCGCATGCGATGGATCATCTTCCAAAGTTGTGAAATAAACCTCGGCTGTTCACATCGTCGGAATACGGGCTTGGGGCTTATGTAAACTGGAAGGGCAGTCAGTAATTATTAAAGCGAGGTTCATGCTGGTTATATCTTGACCTACCCGGCGTGGCATTGTTTGGTGAAACTGCTGGCTGGGAATCTTCTTCATTGTGCGAGGCCGGTGCGGAAGCCTTGTGGCGTGGATTTCCATATTGATGCACCTGCCGCAGTAGCTGACGAGCCCATGGATCTGGAGATCTTAGTCGGAATGTAGGAGGGCGAGGAGGAAAGCCCTGTGGAAGCTTCTGCATTCGGTATGGAGTCCTACGGGCTCTGGTACGGGCTCGTGAAGTCGTTCTGTCTGAGATCGGCCGCCGTCTTCTAATCCCTTTACGAAGTTGATTGCGTTTGCCTCGCAGCGACTCGAATGATCTGTCTTTATCGTGTTGCTTGGAGTATTCTTTGGCCATTTCTTTCCATGACATCCAGTCGTATTCAGATAACCATGGTTCAAGGTTATCTTCCTCGGACTCAGTCCAAGGGAGGTATTTCTCCTTCGGCATCGTGGTAGATTTGCTATGTGCAAGAGTAAAGGAACAGACGTCAACTAGGAAATCACGCGATGGAAACAAACACTGAAATGGACGGGTGAAAAACGACAGACAGCGAGAATATAACTGATGTATACTCAACTCACCATTCCTACTTTGAACAAGGCGTCATTTGGGGGGCAGGCGGCCATAGCAAAACTCACAGCTCGCAAATAAATGAGGTTTAATAATGAAATACCCATTCAATACAGCCGGGCACATTGTATCGGTGATTGGATGCAGGGTAAAAAATGAAAATAACAATAAAAATAAATCATATTCTTTTTATTTCGGCTGAGCTAGTAGAATCATAGTATAGTAGCAAATGTGCAACTGGCTTGATGCCCACTTGGACCCGAATTACTCAAGTGGAGTCGGTTTAATGAGGTTGACAGGGATGTGAAATTCTTTCCTTGGGAAGTTATACGGTTACACAGATACAGAACGGCCTACTAATTAGTTTCAACCAGCTAATAACCATGCCTTGACCTTCAGGTATGGGTTTCGTATAAATCTCACATTTAACCATGCAACGAATGAGATCTGCATCGTCATTAAACGAAGGGGAAATGGCTCAGCTGATTTGTCGACAATCATCTCTTTGGTGTAAGATTTTCTTAGATACTTGCTCCAGAATGTCTTGCACGAAGAAGAAAAGCCTGAGGTCTAGATTTCCCTCTAACAACCCTCAACGTAGTATCGCCGCTCCCCCTAGGTGCACACATTGGGCGCAATTTGTTAGTCTAGGGCTAGGGAAGCCAGTCCGGTCTAGTCATATATCTGCGTTCGTAGCGTATGTATCTGAAAAATTTCTAACGGCGTACTTATTGAGCAGGGTATACGGCCCCAGTTCTCGGATTGGTCCGAGCGCTCTGTCGAGCTGTCTGTCTGGAGTATAAATCAAGCCCAACTTCAAGCATTGGAAAAACGCCTAGCTGTGCTTCCCATCCGCCATCTCATCTTTTATTCACTCCTTTTTTCTCAAGACCAAAACCCTCAGCCATGGGTATCTTTCAACATCCCGGTCCGGGGGAGAACCTTGGTCGGTTCTCTAGCCAACTTCGCGATGCCCTTGCTTCCAAAGCCAAACCGTTCGACCTCTGGAGCATCCCTGAATCGGCTGCAGGCCCCCAAGATGAAGACTGCCCGTATGAGATGGAATCACAATCCTATGCGGGAGAAAGCCATGTGCCAATGGATGAAGACATAGACTATGATGCAGATGCCGGTTGGGCGGCAGAGACCAAAAGTGTGGCAGATCACGTACCGGAAGTGGTACATCATGGAGAGACTGGTGCTCCCGTATCAATGGCCAAGTGTCTGAGGTGCCTCGGAGAGTAAGACTATTTGCCTCTTCATTACAGTTACCAGTGACGCTAATTTCTTCCTAGTTTGAACGCCCGAGTCCAGTGCGTGCCTGCCTCTCGGCAATATTTGCTTCAAGCTCATTTTATGCTGATGGGAACATAGGTCCATAGAGGAACAGCTCGAAAAACAAAACTTCTGGAACGACGACATGGGACGAGGCGTGGAAAGCATGCAGTCCGGGTACCAAGAGATCTCGGCGCTCAGAGAGGAAGTGGCTACGCTAAAAGACCAACTCAACTCTCTATGCAGGGATAGCCCAGGCACTGGGCGAAAACCAGGACGCCCCAGGCGTGTCGCGCAATGAAGGCAGAGAGCGTGGGATCATTGGTGGCAGTACTCGCAATGTGCAAAGCAATTAATTGGTTCTTTCAGCGGGAGTATCAGGCAGCCTGAGCCTAGCAATAATGTAATCGATCAACATACCTTGACACCTTGACACCCACACCCTACCCACACCCTACTCCCTGCATACCTAGTGAGAACCACATGATCTGTTAGCACCCGTGCGGCTCGAGCTCGGAATCAGCAACGTTAGAAAATGCTGGTTCACTGTGAATTTGCTAGACACCCCCCTATAGCCGGCCGATCCGCGTTGTCAGCTAACAGACACCGCACGTGAGTGGAAACCATGATGCCACGACTTGATTGGACCGGGGAGGCTGGATTACGGCCCGGCCCACAACGATCGGCGAAGGACTAATATACGTGCAGGAGCCTCGCAAAGCCAAGAGCAACGACCAAACTAAATTGCCGCGAACGCAGTGCTCCGAGATTACTGTGACCAAAAATTACGTATCGATCAGCGTTCTAGCGCGTCTAGCACCCCCTCCCTGTCCTAGCGAACACTCCATCCGTTCATCAATGAAAGAAACAAGGATTTGACGGCCAAGTTCAGAGTATAGACCGATAGCCTAGTCTTACCAGGTGCGATCACCCTTCCTGCTTCCCCGATATGGTTCGCTCCTGGGTTATATGACGGCTCTTTCGGCAAGTGCAACCTTGGATCCCTGCAGATCATCTTACTTTTGTGGCCACGATTCTATATGTACTAATCAGGAAGCTAGTCTACCGTGTCGCGAGAGAACCGGAAGGCAAGCCAGAGACGAAAGGTCCAATACAGCGAAGTGATCGGTGGCACGCTTAGTGGCTGGGAGTGTAAGATACCACCACAGTCAGTTCCACAAACCGACTGCCGTTTATTACCTCTTGTACTTTTCATTGATTTGATTTCATTCTAGGTATTTCATTGGATGGTACCAGTTTATTCCAACTCAAAGACCGAGTGCCATTCGTGTAGATTTGCAACCTCTGCCCCGCTCATACCCAGCGATGTCATCGCCACAATAGAAACAAGTGCGATAGAATAGCTGCACGGGCTATTGCCGAGGATGCCCCATTCGGTTACCTCTCCAGTTCGTCTGTGCTAACACCGATGTAATTAGTCCAACAGCTTTAGACTAGCAGGTGAATGATATTCAATATCACCAAGGCGAAACCGCGCGGCACAACGATGGTCCCGGCATGCCGCGGATCAGCCTCCGCACACCTTTATTTCCGGGTGCATCGAAAGCACAACATGTTTACTTCTCATCAATAGCCACTACAATGACAGAACCAAAGGCACAGCTAATACAACCTCCTGAAACTCCTGCGATCTCAAATGCTTTGCTAATCGGTATACGAACCCGTCAACATCTAAGGGGTCTCGATCAAACATTCACAGGCCGAATGTATAGTTGGAGTAATATTTTCGGAGCTTTCAATTACCCCGAATGAAGCGAAAGTGCTTCCCTCAATCCGCCCCATTGCTCTATAGATTGTGGGGAAATAAATATTTCCACGGTCCTGTCGACACAAACCATCTAGAGGGTTACATCCTCGGATTTTGGAAGAGCCTAGATCCCCTTACGCTATGGCCAAGTGGGGAATTGTCTGTCGTTATGGTCGCTTAAAGCGTGGTTGATATTATCACTCAGAAATATCAGACTTGGGGCTAAGCAGGAAATCATGGTCTTAGAAAATGCGCTACGGGCTTTGCGGGCTATGCAACCCCGGAGAGCAGACCATAGAACGAATCATCCCTCATAGAGAAGTAGTATCCGGGCCTCGCTTGCTGGTTTAGCGCCGAAGGGAAACCAAGTGGGTTTTGCCGCCATGAAAAGCACAGACGTGGGACATCCGCCAGGGCCCGCACCGAAGGTCTGTTTTGGCCCATCTTTTTTCTCTTTTTCTCTCCTTTACATTTATTTGTCGACTATCATTGGTTGACAGTATGGAAACAAAACAAAAAGCCCTGTCCAGTAAAATTACAGGGATTCTTGCAGAGTTCTCATTGGACCACGCGTGTGAAAAGCGCACGCCGACTTTACGGCATGTTACGCTGGGTCCTCAGAGGAACCCCCACCCCCGCCGTGTGATTGTAATTCACGATAAGTATAAGAGACGAGCAAGCTTCAGCTAGATTGCCCATTTGCAGGCAACTCACGATTGACAAGGCACGACCCGAAATGCGGGCTTTGAAGAAGTAAAGGGACCCGCTTGACCTGCATGCTAATTTATTGCTCCATGGTCGATCCCTGCCCCGCATTGGTTAGACTGATTTTCCATCCACGGCGGGTCCGGGCTCCACAATCCTCCGGTTATCAGAGTGCAGTTTATTGCCCGTTTCTGATCATTTGCCGAGACCGAAAACCATGATGAGGTAGAGATGTATACCGGGAATACCCTAGTTGAATATGCTGTCGAACCTTACATTAATTGACCAAGCTCTGGCTGATATCGCTCTAGATCAAAGATCAAATAGCAATCTGGATGGTGTTGAATCATTCTCCATATAAGGTTTCGAATCTCTATCAAATGAGAGAAGTCGGTCATTCGCAGTCAGCATAGATGCAAGCGGCGCAGGGAGCAAACTCGGATGAAATGTTCGCCTAAATGAAGCCATCTGTATGGGTCAAGCCGGCTACCGGCACACAGTTAGCTGTCTTCCGTACATAGGATGAGACGCGGCAGAGGGCCGGTAGATCCGCAAGATCGGCCAGGCATGAGCTTCTATCGTCCTTTTTTCCCTTCCCCACTCCCTGGCTGCGCGAACACCCAATGAACGCCCACTCTTCGGCCTCGTCCCCTGAAAAACGGGGCTTGACCTTGCTGCTAGCTCCGAGTGATTGGCTATAATAGGAAAGATGTGCATATTAGATGATCTGAGTCGCGCGACATAAAAGGGTGAAAGGGGCTTGTCGGCACTGGCCGAGGCAAACCCATATCCGCGCGGGCTAGACCGTTCTCTGAGCCCACAGAGCTCCACCGGATCTAGCCAAAGCGGTTCAAGATCCCCGACCACGGAGTGATGTTTTTGATGCAAGTTCGGCAGAGAATATCTCATTGTCGACCTACATCATCATCGCATTCGCTTCCGCATTAGCTTTCTATCCGTGATTTGCGACCAGTGTGCTATGTCCATCTGAGAAGATAGGGATAGGCCACGATTAAGGATGGTTTTGCTAATTGCAAATACAAACACTAGGCGAGCGCCTGTGAGGGACTTTACCGCACTACGCTCGTGCACGCAGTTTGAGACGCGGGAGACGGTACAACGGTGAGATCGATCAAGCACGGGCTTATTTGATATTGAACATCACTTGATCTTATTTTTTAGTTTTGGTTTTACATAATTGCTCCGAAACCGTGACCGTATCCTTGAAGCTGTCTATACAAGGGTATTTTAGGTTCCATTCTCTATGTGTGCAACGAAGATGCTGAGCGCCCTGTATTCGGTAATGAGTTGCGACCCCTGAAAAAGCGGGGCGTCGGGTATATCCAGCCTCGATAAAGTTTGGGGCTGGGCGTTTCATTGAACCAATGAGGGGAAAGATCAATTCTCGTCTTAACCACATTTGGAGACTCGGGCAAGCGATACTGACTCAGTCAGTGCTTAGTCAGAAGTCGGCTGCACGAAGATCATCATCCCGTCACGCCATGCATTTAACGGTCATCGCGGAAGTTGAGCTCGGTTCCCCGTTAGCTTCATATTGGTCCATTGTGGCCGGTGCTTAGCGAGGCGTCATTCGGTCTCGGTATTGGAGATCAGTCCAGTGGATCTTGAGTACCCGCTACCAAGAGATTAGATCGTAGCGCTAAGGTGGGATAGGTTCATTGAAAAGACGATCTACAGGTATGGACAGAACTTGTACTCAAATACCAATGTTGGCCAACTATGGGACAGTAACGCTATAGGCTGTTCGCCTCGCTCCACCTATCCTTCAGGGGCCAATCTGCTGCTTAACGCAGATGCGCATATGGATCGGCTTGGGGCATGGTAGGCACATTGGACGAAGAGTAGCCCGGAATGGGGGGTGCCGGGATTTCTGAAGGATCGAGCAGATAGTTTGCGTCTTGGTCTTGCCAGTTTTGGGTCACATCAGGGCCAGGCAAGAGAGTGGAAAAGTATGCTTGGTCGCTCTCGTTTATCTTGGTCGTGATCTGACCGAATAGAGAAGAAGCGGTGGTCTGAAGTTCCTTCAAGGCCACCTGGTATTCAGCCCGTGGCATTTGGTCCTGGGCAGTCGCTGTTTCCAAGCTCTCTGTCAATTTGCGGTTTTCACCCTGTAACTGGCGACACTCCGCTGTAAGCTGCCGGACTTTAGCGGACAATTGGGCTCTTTCTGCGACACTTTGCTGTTGGCTTTCCTCCATTTGGGCAGCGCGCTGCTGGTGGTCATCTTCGGCTGCTTCAAGTAAATTGATGCAGTCGATATGGTCGGCCGGGTGGGTGGCATGTGCCTTCTGTATCGAACGGATGTGTGAGCCAATGCCAAATCAGGACGGAGAATGTGTATGGCTTACCAAGGTCTCTCGGAACTGAACCTCCCGTGGGACGGGCTTGGATCGCACAACGCCAGTCGCCGGCAAATGTCGAACAGCGCGTTTGGCAGGTGTTTCGGTCTGTGGCTTTCGAACCCTGGTGGGTGCTGGCGCGGCAGGATTGCGCGAGGCGGTTGGCATTTTGGCCATAGTGAGCGATGACTTGACGAATGTCGCAAAAGAAAGGAGAAAACCGCAACACACAAAAGAGAAAGAAAGAAGTTGGGGTCACATCAGTTGGGGCGGGTAAAAGAAGACTTAAATCCAGTGACAGTGTGAAGATAACCATATTGTTTTACACGAAATATGGTTTCACACGGGTGTACCACATCCTCGGCACCTCAGTTTAGTAATTACCAGACAGTACCAGTTGACCAACCTGCTGCTGAACATGGAATCAGTGGAGCACAGTCCCAGTTCGGCCGCCCTGTGTAAAACATGGGGGTACTGTATCCACAAATGATAGAGAAAGACGAAATGAACTTGTCCAGCCGCTGATTTTACCATATATCCATTGATCAGATGCTCGAATATTCGCTAATGGTCACTTCAAGATAGGAGAGATAGACATTGCTCCCCTGGGAAGTTGGTTATTCTGTGGCGTGCACAGTGGACGACTTGTAGGGGACCATCTACTTAGACTAAGAGCTACAAATAAACGAAGTCATGTTAATTCGATCCCGGCCTCGACACGCTGTGAGCAGCGTGGGCCCGGGGGATCAATATCATTTCGGCCAATATCCGAGCATTGCGGACTAGCGATGGACAACAACCGACGACGGATGCTACCATGGCCACTTGCATACGCTATTCCCATGCTGAACGCGAGCCAAGGAAAGCCGCTACACCGATGGGGCCACAAAATGAAATCCAGACGGCTTTGTTCCGTCCAGCCTACCTCATATATTGAATTTGACCGTGATATTGAGTGGGAACGGATTTCTTCGATCTCCGGACGTTTTTCGCTAAGGATGTCCAGAAGAGGAAACTGCACGGCGTTGAAATATGAAACTAGAAGCTTACACATATAAACCTGGTTTGCTCGAAATCCGTGATTTCCACGGTCACAAACGCTCTATGCTCAGGCTCGCTTTCGCGCTAGCCATAATTCGATGGAGGAATTCGGGATAAGCCGTTCCCGGTTTCCCATGGCTATCTTCCCAGATTTGAGATTCTATCGACCGAAGCACTTAAGATTAATTACAGCTGCAAGCAATAGCACAATAGCATCTCCGCCAATCAACGCTGGATCTCCATCCCGGCCCGCAGACGGTTGGGGTGGGTCTAGACATCGCGCTATTGAATACCTGTGCCACTTGTATGTGTAACATCCACGGTAGAATTAATTCATCGCCTGTGGTTTTATGTTGATACCGGTCATTGCGCTCTGACGTGAAATCCCCGCGGTTGTACCAAAGCTCCGAATCTCCCGGATGGTCCCAATGACCGTGCTCTGCACGTGCTGACCCCCCCAACGCCGAACATTCCCGCTCCTCGCCAGGACTCAGGCTTCTTCTCCATTGCTCGTGTGCCCCAGTGGATTGAAGAGCAAAGATATCAGCAATGGCTCGTCGAACACCATATTCTCGACCTCAGGCTCCCAGCATTGGCTTCAGGGGCTCTATGGGCTCCACCTATGTTCAACCCTCGCGCTTGTCTGCCACCGTCCACCGAAAATCAATGCCGGTAGGTCGTTCCACTATCCCTCGCCTTGCTGTGATCACGCTGTTAAATCTCTCTCGACTAGAACTCTTCACAAGCGACATTTACGGCGCAGAATCCACCAATAACGCAAAGCTCAGAGGAGACGGAATCTCCGTCCGACCAGTCTACGGCAGCGTCTACTACCCAGCACCGTCCAGGCAATTGCAAGAAAACCAAAGAGAAAAAGAAAAAGAGACGACGGAAGCTGGCGCAACAGCGTCAGGTAGAGCATACGCAGCTTCAACTTGAGAATCAGGACCTGCGTGAGCAATTAAGGCAGCAGGGGCAATCTCGCCGACGTGACAAGGAGAGCATGCAAAAGTTCTTACACGACTGTCATGCTGAGGCTGCTACTATTATTAAAGCAGTGAACATTCTGCTCCCCGGTTGCGCAGCACATCCCAGAAGTGTACCAAAACCTGTAAGGTACGAGCATCAATTCGCGCATGGCGGATGACCATTGTGGAATCTTCACTTCAAGACGCGGAGGCAGGTTTCGGATGGTTAGACCGGCGAAGCTGTGCTTTCGATCTCGCCGCAGAAACGGGGAAGCCGCCAATGGCCAGAGGCGCCCACGTGCAGCCAGTGGGCTTATGTAATCATCCCAATTCGGGGGTTCAACTACTCCAAATTATCCCACCATTTTCTTTCTTTCACTGTTACCATATTCCAACAACCAGTCATAGAGCAGGCAGGGAATTAATGTAAAATAAATCCTTGTGATCAAGGTATGTTTCCCGTATCATAATATCCATAGGCAAGGTTAATAAAGATGCTGTGAGTGAATTAGAGAATACAGTGTGTTGTGGGACTGAATATATATATACGCACGACAAGTAATGTGACTATGACGACCCATTGTTTCTTGTTCTGTCCAATAACTATTTCCCCCAAAACCAGTTCGGTGACCCCGAATTTGAATATGCTTTTCATTCCAGATATCCGAGACAGAGTATTCCATGCTGTACTGTAAACGTAGCCAACAACGTCATGAAATCAAGCAACCACAAAACTTACCAGTAAGCGACCGACCGACACGCCACTAAGAAATGCCTGTACACCCGGTGTAGCAAATACTAGACTAAAAACAAACCACGAACATGGGAGTGGTTGCTGTGGTGGGTTGAGCCCACCGACCTTCCAGTTGAAATACAATGGAAGGTGCGCGAGGACATAAACAGAGCATGTGTAGACGATCAAAAGCTGAGATTGAAATCACTGATTTCCTCGCGGGCAGGGGTTAAGAAGCTTCACCAAAGTTGCGTGCATAGATTAGGATGCACATTTCATGGAAGTCGAACGCATTCATGAACGAATAATCGCAAGTTACCTTTCAACTATCACTAACAGACTCCTCCCAGCCCCGCATAAGTTATTGTTTAATCCCACGCACCCCCTCCCCTGCCCCTCCCAAGAAAGACTGCGGTAAATTACTTAATCTTCATGCTTGGAGTGATTCAACTTTGGTGAAGTTCGCCCGCAGACAAAAAGCTCACCAAGAGAGTACCACGACTGACATGGTGAAAAAGGGGATTCGTGTTTATAAATGTGTCAAGGGTAATTCCGAATCAATAATCTTACCAATGTTAGTGGGTCATCTTGCCTGAACGGAGTTGGGGGGGTTGGGGAAGTGAAGTGTTATTGGTCGTTCTGTCGAGCGGAGAAAGATAGGACAACGAAATTGCGTACGTGGCATTCTTTGAATGCCGTACAAGAAAATATAAAGCCCAAAGCCCGCCCCGAGTCTTATGGATGGTTCGCACACCGTGACCTACCGCGACTCGCCGTAGCTCACCGTGTAGCAACCCGAGAGCCACAGCTTTACAGCGTTGGGCTTTCCGCTCACCGTGACACCGTGCAGCATAACATAAAAGAGGGCTACAGCTACGTGCTTTGGGCCTTCTGCTCACCGTGACACCGTGCAGCATAACATAAAGAGGGCTACAGCTACGTGCTTTGGGCCTTCTGCTCACCGTGACACCGTGCAGCATAACATAAAAGAGGGCTACAGCTACGTGCTTTGGGCCTTCTGCTCACCGTGACACCGTGCAGCATAACATAAAAGAGGGCTACAGCTACGTGCTTTGGGCCTTCTGCTCACCGTGACACCGTGCAGCATAACATAAAGAGGGCTACAGCTACGTGCTTTGGGCCTTCTGCTCACCGTGACACCGTGCAGCAAAACATAAAGAGGGCTACAGCTACGTGCTTTGGGCCTTCTGTTCACCGTGAAACCGTGCAGCAAAGCATAAAGAGGGCTACAGCTACGTGCTTTGGGCCTTCTGTTCACCGTGACACCGTGCAGCAAAACATAAAGAGGGCTACAGCTACGTGCTTTGGGCCTTCTGTTCACCGTGAAACCGTGCAGCAAAGCATAAAGAGGGCTACAGCTACGTGCTTTGGGCCTTCTGCTCTAGTTGCCTCCAGCGATGGACAGACACCTCTTCGTGGTGCTGGAGATCAATAATCAAACGCGTAGTCGCTTGATGAAGCTAAGATCTGTCCAATTCTATGCGTTATAATTTGATTCATCTTGCCCATGGTCTCTTTGTTTAGTGTATTCGTGCTGAGAGATGAGTATTTTGCTCTTTTGACTAGAAATGTACATTCTGGTGATTACGCCTGCTTTCTGAAGTTCTATGTCCAAAATACATAAATATCAACACTAAACATAAATACAAATCATAATCGCTAATTGTTATGAGGAATAGTAGCTCGTCATTTTGTTGATCGGTTGAACGTCTTCACCCATTATATTGCATACCGTCAACCCTGCACAAGTATGGGCATTGAAGAGCGGATGATGAATGTTCTCCCAGTCGTTAATTATTGTCCCGTCAAGGCGAATTGCACTAAATCGCAACGCATTATGATTGTTCGCTCCGAGGTCATAAGCAATACTCTTGCTGACCAGTATCTTATGTCAAGGCAATGGCCAGTCAAACATGTATAGCCCTTGGTTGTTTATTATCATTCCTTTTGTTCTCATCACTGGAGTCCGCTGATCCCGGTCAACCCCGCGATGGTTGCTTGATTGTGTACTGTACAGTAGACACTCGAACCAAGAGACAAAGACAGGAATCTGGGTACTGTGAAGAAAAATTCCGTCGAAGGCTCAAAGACTAACCATTGCCCCACAACAAATGAATGGCCTCAAAAGGTCAACCATATCTGCGTTTAAATGAGAACATTAGGAAGTCGATTGGTATGGTGCTATAGAAATGTTCAAAAGCTAATCGATCAATGACCTGTCCACCTTACAATAAAATAAACATCAGCAGGTCAAGAATACTATATGTTCTGTCGAACTGAGAACGACTAAACGAATAAATGCTGTTTAAGTCTCCAGGCTGAAGTAACAGTACCGGAGATGAACGCTCCAGACCAAGTCCGTTGTTTACCCAATAAACAAACTCGGCAGTAGATGTTTCCCTCCTCACATTTCATGAGCAGCGTCAAGCTGCGACTATCAGACGAGGAGCACAATTCCGGTTATTTACCCCTCCGATACTGTTTATTGGGGGGTGTAGCTCCCGAGCTCAAGGGTCACAAAGATGTATCCCCACCCTGTTTATTCGGCCTACTCGTCAGAATTGCCCGTCTTCGCAAAAAAGGAACCCGGGCGCTTGGCCGCTTGGTCAATCTGGCGAAGTCTACCTGCAGGCCGCGAAGGGGCTCTATCCTACTGACCAGTGCTAACTCCCATCTGCGTCTTATTCCTCAGTTATTTCAAACCCGCAAATACAAGGACATTTCCAGCCTCTGTGTTCTCCAAACAATTATTGATAGCAATGATGGCAGACTCCACGTCACATGTTGAGCTGCATACTTCCAACGATAATCTCAAAAATTCTGTCAACCCAACCTATGCGGCGAGCACTCAGACAATTGCTGATCCTGAACCGAAAGCAAGATCGGTAGGTCTTCCTATTCCTTGCTTCTTGCCCTGGAAGTCCAGCTGATATTCTCCATTAGAATCAACGGCAACCGAGATCTATGAAGGCGTGTTCCACGGCGAAGCCGGAACGAAAGTATCCTTCTTCGGGAGAGTCGGGAGAAAGACCAATCATTAGGAGCTACCGAGACAATCGCAAGGAAAGAAGAGGCCGTCGAAGGAGGAATCGAGCGCAGCAACTCAACGATACCAACGAACGGCTCGTTGCTCAGCACATGCACGACGAGATCAGGATTCAGCACCTCAAGCGGCAAATCAAGTCACGCTGGCTCCAGGATGCGGAGTTCTTGGCTCGCAGACTGCATTCGCGCGCACGGAGTGTCTGAGTCACATGGGTAGAGCCACCATCTTGCCGCTTGGATTTGAGAGCTCCGCATGACAAGGCGATACAAGAAAGTGAGAGAGAACGCAACAAACCGATAGATTCCATCACTTTGTTCAATATCATGCCTGCCAACGTTTGTCTGATTGCAATTTTAGTTTGTCACTTGCTTGTTACTTAAACGGCCAGCCGAGCCAATGATATTGATGATCGTAGGATGTGTAGGAAGTGTACTTCGAGTGGGGATAGTCTGACCAGCGAGCACCCTATTGAATTATGACCTGCGAAGCACCTAAACACGACCTCAACCAGCCTCATCAATGAGCAAAACAAGTTACCTCCCTGAAACACCACTCCACCTTTTTGATCGGGACGCAAATTTACCTTTGCAGGTGTCGGCTCTCTTCATCGCTGCGTGTTCATTGCCACATCACGCGGCGACTCGATTCCGCCAGTAATTAACCAGAGACCACGTGGTCTGCAGACAAGGTGGCGATGAACAAAGAGCACCAGGGAATAACCATCGCGCCATAGCTGGATGCCAAGATAAACAGCTTTGCAGAAAGATGATCAGATTGGATTACAACGTGAAATCACCAAGGCCATCTCGATCATCCCAAGCACTAGACGTAGCCATTATGTTCAAGTTAGTCTGTTGCCATGCTCCTATATAGGGCTCTGGTTCTCTCAGAGATCGATGCTGCGAGCTCTCTGACGTCCCCTAGGTCTCACAAACTCTCCCTCACCATGGGTATCCAACGCAGCGGTCAGACATCTCGAGTCGATTTCTTCGACACCGCGGACCAACTGATTCAGGAATATGGACAGCTCCAGGTTCTGGATGACCTGATCCGTTTGCGAGCGGCCGATCTTGTCCAACACCCGATTCTTGCCTATCCTCGATCAGCGAGCCATGTCGCGTCCTATGACTACTATAGCGGTCAAGACTTGAATACCATGATCAACCAAGCGGCGACGATGCTTATGGACCTTGGCTTTCAGACGGTAGGTCTGCCGATGCCGTCCGACCTCACCTATTCTGACAGCTCTTCTCAGCCAAGACGAAACAAATCGGTTGTCGCGCTCCTTGCCTTGTCAGATCGAGACATGGTCGTGACATTCTTTGCTCTGAGCCGGCTGGGCTACATTGTGATGATGCTTTCGCCAAGATTGTCGGGCA